ACGAAGCACAGCATCTTCCGCCGCGCCCAGCGCTGGCGCCGCAGCGTGAGCATGAACTCGAGGGCGACGTAGCGGCGCCAGGCGCAGATGATCATCTTGCCCGCGGCGCCGCGGACGCGGCGCTGGTGCTCGAAGTAGCGCTGCTTGATCTTCTTGAGGGACCCGCGGCGCGCCCACGCGCGGATCTGCCGCGCGTAGGCCAGGTCCTCCGCGTCCGTGACCCGGAGGCACGACAGGAGCACGAAGGTCGCGAAGGCCTCGCGGTTCCGGTACCACGCGAACTGGACCTGGAGCGCCGCGCGCGTCTCGCGCGCGATCGTCCGCCGCATCGCCGCGAAGTTCTTCCGCGCCATGGCCCCCCGCAGGTAGCGCTGGAGCGTCCGCGGCGCGACGATGGCATCCTCGATGGCCGCCCGGAATTTCGCGAGCGCCGCGCCCGCGCGGCAGCGGCCGAGGTGGCCCCGCATGTAGCGGCCGACCGTGTGCGTCGCGACGCGCGTGCGGAGGAACGGCCGCCGCGCGAGGAACATGTGGGCCGACGCCTCGATGCAGATCGCCGACGCGCGCATGAGCAAATAATGCTGGCGCACGGGCCACATGCGGTAGAGCGCCACGAAGAGCGTGCTCGCGCGCCGCGCGTCGACGTAGTAGCCGCGCCACGCGTTGCGCCGCTGCCGCGTCTGGATCTCGATGGCCGCGGCCCAGAGCTCGCGCCGCTCCGCGCGGACCCGCGCGTCGAGGCTGAAGGCCACGGCGTCGAGGTGGCCGCGCTCGCCGTCGAGCTCGATGTCCGCGTACGCGCCGCCGACGGGCTTCGCGTCGTGGCGCGCGACGAACAAACTGCGCTCGCCTGTGCCGAATTCAAATCTTCAAATCGACTTCAATGTGAGCGTATTCGAATGTTTTGACACAAGAATTTTCACTGTGCTTCGAGAACTCGATGAGAGAAAACGATCCGTTCAAAAATCAGCCAAATCGACTTCGATTTGACCGAGCTAGAGAATTCTGAAGTTTGGTCAGGACCACCCAAACCAGTGGTTGAATTCGGCACAGGCGCTCGCGCGCGCGGCGGTAGCAGGTCTGGATCTTGAGCGTGTTCGTCATGCGGTCGTAGAAGATCATCCAGCCCGTGCGCGACACCCAGCGCATGATGCACCGCGTCACGCCGCGGCGCCGGCACCGCGCGAGGAACGACGCCAGCTTGCACGCGCCGCCGAACTGGCGGTACTCCAGGCGCCTCTGGTCGCGGTCCCGCTCGTGGAGCGCGACGCGCCAGAGCACCAGCGCCGCCGTCAGCTGGGCCTTCTCGAACTCCTCGACCCAGCGCCCCAGGATCGCCGCGAGGCGGCCGCGCACCGTCGCCGTCGACGCGAGCGACCCGCCGAAGGAGCCCGCCACCAGACGCAGGGGCAGCGCCCGCACCTGGGCGTCGATGCGCTCGTGGGCCTCCCGCCGCAGGCTCGACTCGATCTTCGCCTCGGCCTCCAGCAGGCTCGCGGACGCGGCCGCGACGCGGCCCATGTCGCCGTCGGCGGCCGCGAGCGACCCGTCGTCGTCCGTCGCGTCGCCGTCGGCGCCCCAGGCGACGCTGGGCACGACGGGCCCGCCCTTGAGGATCGCGCGCTTCCGCGCGGACCGCCAGGCCTCCTTGGCCTCGTCCGCGGCCCGGCGCCGCCGCGACCGCGCGTCCTTGCGGTCCGCGCGCGCGGACGCGATGGCGCGCCGCGCGCGGGGCTGGCGCGGCGTCACGACTAAAGCCGCGCCGAGGCGCCCCTCGGCCGTCGCGGCGCGCTCGACGCGCGCGCGCTCCGCCTCGACGCCGCCGTAGAGGTCCACGGCCGCGGGCAAGGCGCCGCCGTGGACGCCGCCGCGCGCGTCGCGCGCGCGCGGCGTCGTCGGCTCGTGGTGGCTCGGCCGGCCGAGGGGCGTGCGCCGCGCCTCGCGCGCGCTGTAGCTGTCCCAGCCGCCGACGAGCGGCGGCGTCATGCCCTCGCGGCTCAGGCCGTCTCGCGCCGACGCGGACGCGGACCAGAGGCTCGTGCCCGCGACCGCGTCGCCGCCGAGGTCGTGGGCCGTCCGCGGCCGCGCGCCGTGGCGCGGCGACCAGGCGACGGCCTTGGACACCGTCGACGCCTCGACGTCGACGAGGGGCCGCGACGCGACGGACGAGTCCTCCGAGGCCGCGCTCCGGGGCGAGAGCGCCGCGTCCTGCGGGACGGCGTCGCGCGTCGGCGGCCGGCTCGACGCGCGGCTCGTCGCCTCGCTGTCCGTGACGACGGTGAGGTCGCCCTGGCTCGACGTGCGGAAGAGGTCCAGCGACTCCGGCGCGAAGGACTCGAGGGGCCACGCCGCCGTCGCCGTCCTCGCCGCTTTCGCGTCGGGCGCCGCGGGGAGCATGGCCCGCAGGCGCCGCGCGCGCGGGTGCGCGGGCTCCTTGAGCGCCACGCCGGCGTAGGTCCGCAGCGTCGCGACGTCCTTGTACTCGCGGAGGATCGCGTCGGACGTCGCGGGCCGCCGGATCGCGTCCATCGCGTCGCGCGCGCGCGGCCGCAGGGCCAGCGGGTCGCCGCGCGTCCGCGCGGGCCGCGGCTTGGGCACGACGAAGCGCGTCGCCTGGTAGCCCAGGAGCCGGTCGCCGTCGAGGGGCAGGGGCGCCGTCGCGGAGCCCAAAGCCAGATCCGCGGGCGCCTCCGCGTCGTCGGCGAACGCGACCGCGGGCCGCCGCGGCCCGCCGGCCGTCGCCGCGCGGTAGCCGCCGCGCGTCGTCCGCACGTAGCCGCCGCGGTTGTCCGCGCGGGCGACGCTCGACGTGTGGTCGTAGAGGGGCGTCGCCGCGAAGCCCGACGCGGACCGCTTCTCGAGCGTCGCGACGTAGTCGCTGAGGCGGCCCGACATGGTCACCGTGCCCGGCTTCGCGTTGCGCTTCTCGACGGCGTCGACCTTGGCCTCGATGCCCAGGTCCGGGTGCGACACGCGGTTCACGGCCTCGAGCGCCGCGGCCGCGTCGAACGTCTCGACGAAGACCGCGGCCTTCTTCTTCTTGTCCCGCAGCCTGCGGGACGACGCGTCCGCGGCGGCCTCGAGCTCGGCGCGCTCCTCGGCCTGCTGCTTCTCGAAGGAGTCGAGGTCCGCCTCGCCCGCGGCCTGGCGCTTCGCCGCGGCCGCGGCCGCGCGGCGTTGCTCTTTCTGCTCCGCGGCGTGGCGCGCCTTCTTCCGTTCGATCGCGTGCTGCATGACCTTGGCCGACGCGGCCACGGACTCGGGCGTGGCGTTCATGGGGCGCAGGGGCTCGGCCGCCGCGCGGACACCGCGCTCGCCGGGCGTCGTCAGCGCGACGACGAGGCCGAGCACCGTCGCGCAGTTCTGCCGCATGAGGCGCGCGTCCGCCACCGTCAGCTCCGCGTTCTTGGGCACGGGCTGGGGCCGCTTCTCGCCGCCCCCCTCGCCGCGCTTCTCGGGCGGCGGCGCCTTGCGCGCCCAGATCTGCCAGAGCCGCTGCTGCCGCGACGCGTAGCCCACCAGCTCGAGCAGCGCGTCTTCGATGGGCGCGGCGCCGCGCGGCGAGTGCTCGCGCGGCGCCGCGTCGAGCGCGCGGACGGCGTCGACGCCCAGGCCGCCGCCCCGCAGCGCCTCGAGCTCGCGGCCGAGCGCCGTCGCCGCCAGGGCCCGCGCGTAGGGCGTCGTCGACGCGTCGCGCACCCGGGCCGCGAGCGCCAGGGCGCCGGCGAGGGCGCCGTTCGTCTCCGGGGCCTCGTCGGCCGCGGGCGGCGGTGGAGCCGTAGCCACGGCCGCCAACATTTTGTCTTTTTTTAGCCTTGGCTCATACTGTTGGATGGAGCTGTCACGTCGGGTACCATGCCCTAGCGCGGCTGCCCAGCTTGCACACTTCAACGCCGACCGCATCGTCTTGGCGTCCACGGCAACATCTCGAGTGGGGCTGAGATCTGGCTTCGAGTCGGCGAGGCAAGAGTGTACAGCTCCGCGCCGCGCCACCGCAGCAACCTCCGCACGCCGCGCCGCGCGCCTGGGCCATGTCGTCGTTCTGGGGCGCGTCCGTGAGCGCCAAGGAGCCGCTGACCGTGGAGCCGGACCCCTGCGGCGACCTGAACATCACGTCGGCGACGGTGCAGGCGGGCAAGCCCGGCAAGCCGGTGCTGCTCAAGATCTGCGCCGACGACGGCGACACGTTCACGCTCGCGGCCCTCGTGCCCGGCGCGCACGACCACCAGCGCCTCGACGTGCAGCTGGGCGCGGGCAACGAGAAGGTCGTCTTCACCGTCGTCGGCTCGGCGAAGCTCGACCTCACGGGCTACGTGACGATCCCCGAGGAGTACGGCGCCGTCGAGAGCGACGGCGACGAGGACTCGGACGACGACGAGGCCGTGGGCGACGAGCGCGAGCTCGCGCGGACCATGTTCGGCACCGCGCGCCTCGCCGGGTCGGACGACGACGACTCGGACGACTCGGACGACTCGAGCTTCGACGAGGCCGACGAGGCGGCGGCGGCCAAGCTCCTCTACGGCGACTCCGACGACGACGACTCCGACGACTCCGACGACGACGACGACGACGACGACGACGACGACGACGACGACGACGACGACGACGACGACTCGTCCTCGGACGGCCTCGGCGTCGGCGACGACGACGACTTCGGCGTCCAGCCCGTGCTGAAAAAGGCCGCGACGCCGGCGGCGTCGGCGAAGAAGCGCAAGGCCGAGTCGACGCCGCCGGCCGCGGCGCAGCCGGCGGCGAAGAAGGCGGCGCCGGCCAAGGCCGCGACGCCGGGCGGCTCGGGCCCCGAGGACGCGTGGGCGGGGAGCATCGCCGCCTACATCAAGGACAACGGCAAGTCGCCGCTCTCCAAGCTGGGCAACCAGTGCAAGCGGCCCGCGGGCCTCGCCACGAAGCTCAAGGCCTTCATCGCGAGCAAGCCGAACCTGTTCTCCATCGACAAGGACGAGGTCAACCTCGTCTAGGGCCGCTTTTTTACAGGCGCCCTAGTTCTGGGACAGCTGGGTGACGATGGCCGTGAGGTGCTGGAGCTGCTCGAAGCCGTCGAAGGTCGGCGCGGCCTCGGGCGGCGGCTTGGGCTTGAGCGTCGCGGACGTCGCGGAGAAGACCCAGCCGCGGGAGCGGCAGGCCTCGAGGGCCTGCTGGTCCGTGAGCCGGAGCGCCGCCGCGACCTTGCCGAGGCGGACCTCGCCGTAGGACGACGCGAAGAGCAGGAGCTCGCGGTCGCGGACCGCCGCCGCGGCCTCCGCCGCGAGGGGCGCCGTCGCGTCGTCCCAGGCGCCCGTCTCGAGGATCTCGATGGCGCCGGGCACGTCCTGCCGCTCCCAGAGCGCCGCGCCGACGGTCCACGCGCCCCGGAGCGGCGCCGACGCCGCGCGCGCGGCCTCGGGCGACCGCCGCCAGACGAACCGCGCCTCGTCGAGGCGGTCCGCGACGACGTAGAGCAGCAGGAGCTGCGCCGACACGCTCCCGAGGTCGCCCGCCGCGCCGTCGACGAGCGACAGCTCGAGCTTCTCCAGGGCGGCGAGGCGCGCCGCCGGGGACACGGGCTCCTCGATGTCCATGGCGCTCATGGCTCTTTGCTGTGTTGTGAGTGTTTGCGGCGGTACGCTGGGGTCGCCGCGGTGGTCCGGCGCGCGCGCGGCGAGGCAGAGGGTCGAGACTCGATCGATCGGCACCTCCGACCCCGTCTCGACGTTGCCGATGATGGGCTCGTCGTTCGCAGCGCTTTTGGTCGCGCTCTGCGCGACGACAGGCCATGCCATTGCCACGTCGGATATCTTCGACCGTTCTCTAACGAGTTCTCTTCTAAAACCCAAGGACAACGACGTCGCCCGCGATGTCGAGGCCGAGCGACTCGAAGCCGAGCGCCTCGAGACCGAGCGCCTCGAAGCTGAGCGCGTCGGAGCTGAAGTGGCCGCGGAGGCCGAGCGACTCGAAGCCGAAGCGGCCGCGAGGCTAACTCGACCGATGGCTAACTTTCTAGCCAAGGACAACGCGGAGGCCGAGCGACTCGAAGCCGAGCGCCTCGAGACCGAGCGTCTTGAAGCCGAACGCGTCGAGGCCGAGCGCGTCGAGGCTGAGCGCCTCGAAGCTGAGCGCGTCGAAGCCGAAGCGGCCGCGGAGGCAGAGCGACTCGAAGCCGAGCGCCTCGAGACCGAGCGTCTTGAAGCCGAGCGCGTCGAGGCCGAGCGCCTCGAAGCTGAGCGCGTCGAAGCCGAAGCGGCCGCGGAGGCCGAGCGAGTCGAAGCCGAGCGCCTCGAGACCGAGCGTCTTGAAGCCGAACGCGTCGAGGCCGAGCGCGTCGAGGCCGAGCGCGTCGAAGCTGAGCGCGTCGAAGCCGAAGCGGCCGCGGAGGCCGAGCGACTCGAAGCCGAGCGCCTCGAGACCGAGCGTCTTGAAGCCGAACGCGTCAAGGCCGAGCGTTTCGAGGCCGCGCGCGTCGAAGCTGAGCGCGTCGAAGCCGAAGTGGCCGCGGAGGCCGAGCGACTCGAAGCCGAGCGACTCGAAGCCGAGCGCCTCGAGACCGAGCGTCTTGAAGCCGAGCGCGTCGAGGCCGAGCGCCTCGAAGCCGAAGCGGCCGCGGAGGCGAAGGCGGAAGCTCGCGGGGGCAACACGCTGACTCGACCGATGGCTAACTTTCTAGCCAAGGACAACGACATCGCCGCCGAGGTGCGACGTACGACGATGACCTCGGTGCTCAAGCTCGTCGCGCTCTACGCGAGGAGAGAGCATGCCATCGTCGCGCCGGAGGCCCGCGACCGACCGCTCGCTCAAAAGGGCAAGGACCGCGACGTCGCCGACGTTTTGTTCGCTTCGATGTACGGCTCCGCCGACGACGTCGCGTCCGAGGCCCTGGCCCTCGCGGAACGCATGGCGGCGGCCGAGGCCGAGCGGGACGAGATCCTCGACGAGACGGAGCAGCTGCGCGAGTCCGTCGCGCGCGCCGAGGCCGCGGCCCTCGCCCTCGCGGCCAGCACGGCGGCGGCGGAGAAGGGCGTCGAGTTGCTGCTGGGCGAGATGGAGGCGCTGCGCGCGACCGCCGCGCGCGCCGACGCCGCGGAGCGGAAGCTCGAGGCGACGACCGTCGAGCTCGGAACGCTGCGCGAGGCGCGCGCGACCGTCGTCGCGGAGCGCGAGGCCGAGTTCGTCGAGACCATCGAGGAGGCGACGGCCGAGTCCATCGCCGCGAAGCGGCGCGTCGCCGAGCTCGAGGACGCGCTGGCGGCGCTGGACCTCATGCTCGCGAACGCGGCGCGCGACGCCGCCGCCGCGTCCGAGCGCGCGGACGCGGAGGCCGCCAGGGCCGCGACGAACGCGGCCGACGCCGCGCGCGAGCGCGACGCCAAGCTCGCGGCCGAGGCCGAGGCGGCCTTGGCCCGGGAGCGGGCGGACCGCGCCTCCGACGCCGCGACGGCGACGCAGGCCGAGCTCGCGGAGGCCAAGCGCGAGATCGTGGTCGGCCGGACGAAAAAAGACGCGAGCGGGACGGGCGCGAAAATCGTCGAGCTCGAGGGCGAGCGCGCCGGCGCGAGGAACCGGGTTCTGCCACCACTGCGCGATGAGCTCGACCTCGCCCGTGACGTTGTCGCTCTCCTCCGCCGCCTCCGCGTCGTCTTCTTCGCCCGGGTCCGGTCGATTCTCACGGCGCTCAAGTTGGCGCTCGTGGTCTTTTGTCGCGCGATTCTCGTGTCGTTAGATGATGTGTCTTGAGCGTTTGCGGCGGGGTCGCGTTTGTGGGTGTTCCAACGGGAGGGTCGCACGCGCGGCGGTCGCGGCGTCGCGGCGCGAAGGCGAGATGGGCACGATGTCTCGCAAGTGGGCCGGGTACCCGGCGGTGCCGGCGACTTGTCCGAGGCTCCTCGAGGAGCCGAAGCTGCAGCAGTGCACAGCTGAAGTGGCAGCCGAGCATGGCGACGCGCGTGCTCGCGGTTTCAGTCGCGCTCGCGGCGGCGAGCCATGCCTTCGTCGTGCCGAAGACCCGCGTCGCACCGACGACTCTCAACGGCAAGGACAGCGACGTCGAAGAGCTCGTGTCGGCGTCGATGTATGGCACCGCCGCCGACGTCGCGTCCAAGGCCCTGGCCCTCGCGGACCGCACGGCGGCGGCGGAAAAGGGCGTCGCGGTGCTGCTGGGCGAGATGGAGGCGCTGCGGGCGACCGCCGCGCGCGCCGAGGCCGCGGAGCAGGAGCTCGAGGCGACGACCGTCGCGCTCGAGACGCGCGCCGCGGCCGCGGCGCGGAAGCTCGAGGCGACGAACGTCGCGCTCGAGACGCGCGCCGAGGCCGCGGAGCAGAAGCTCGAGGCGACGACGGTCGCGCTCGAGGCGCTCCGCGAGGAGCGCGAGAGCTTCCTCGCGGAGCGCGAGGCCGAGGTCGAGGCCATCGAGGCGGCGACGGCCGAGTCCATGCAGGCGAGGAAGCGCGTCGCCGAGCTCGAGGACGCGCTGGCCGCGCTGGACCGGAAGCTCGCGACGGCGACGCGCGACGCCTCCGCCGCGTCCGAGCGCGCGGACGCGGCGCAGGCCGAGGCCGACGCCCTGGCGCTGAAGCGGGACCGCGCCGTCGAGCGCCTCGCCGTGAGCCGGCGCGACAACGAGGGCCTGCAGGAGGTGCTCGGCCGCCAGGCGGACCTCGTCGAGAAGTCGCAGGCCAACTACGAGAAGTCGCTCGCGGGTCTTTTTTCCCGGCGTCTCGCGGCGTTTCGTACGAGACATCGTTCCACGTAGGCTTCCGCGAGGCCGCGGTGGAGGCCCAGTCGACCATCGACCGCATCGCCGAGTTCTCGGGCATGGTCTGGGCGTCGGGTGCGTTCGGCATCGGCGCCGCTACCGAGGAGGCCGCGGCGAACGCGGGCGAGGCCGAGGCCGAGCGGGCGGCGAAGGACGCCGCCCAGGTCGCGCTCACCCGGGAGCAGGCGGACCGCGCCTCCGACGCGCGGCGCGCCGCCGCCGCGGAGAAAGCGGCGGCCGACGAGCTCGCCGTCGAGGCCGCCAGGGCCGCGACGAACGCGGCCGAGGCCGCGCGCGAGCGCGACGCCAAGCTCGCGGCCGAGGCGGCCTTCGCCCGGGAGCAGGCGGAGCGCGCCTCCGACGCCGCGGCGGCGGCGACGGAGGCCAAGCTCGCGGAGACCAAGCTCGCGACCGAGGTCGGCCGGACGAAACTCGCGAGGGCGGACGCGAGCGAGAAGGGCGCGAAAGTCGTCGAGCTCGAGGGCCAGCTCGCGAGCCCGGCGGTGCTCTTCCGCCGCCTCCGCGTCGTCCTCGTCGCCCGGGCCCGCGCCGCCGCCGGTCGCGCCAAGAACGGGACGATCTCCGCGGCCCGGGCCACGGGCTCCGCCGTCGGCAACGGCGCCCGGGCCACGGGCTCCGCCGTCGGCAACGGCGCCCGGGCGACGCGGTCCGCCGTCGGCAACGGCGCGGCCAAAACGCGCGCGGCCGCGTCGCGCGCGAAAACCGGGATACTCGCCGCGGCCCGCGCGACGCGCTCCGCGGTGAGCACCGACGCGGCGGTGAAAACGCTCGACGCCGCCAGGGCCGACGCCGCCAGGGACGACCTGCCCAAAAACGGGGCCAAGGGCGGCGCGCCCCAGTAAGACTTCCAGTAAGTGTCACAGTGTGAAGCTGTCGAAGTTTCTGATTGGTCGGTTGATAAACATGTTCAAGTATCCGCCTCCTCCTCGACGAAACCGCAGGCCGGGCTGCTTCTGCTTTGCGCGTGGTCCCGCGGCGCCATGGACTGCGTGGACAAGCTCGTGAGCGAGGTGGCGCGGAACGAGATCTGGCGCGAGCACATCCGCAAGGAGTCGGCCATGTCGGATAAGCACCTGGGCACCCAGACCTACCGCCTCAACGTGTCGAACCTCGGGAAGAACATCATGGCCCCGAAGCCGACGGCGCGGCAGGAGGACGGCGGGGCGACGGTGAGCGCGAAGACGACGGAGGTCGTGGACCAGGTCATGGCGGACCTCGAGAAGCAGACGAGCCCGCGGCCCGCGGAGCGCACGTCCGTGCCTCCGACGGCGAACGGGGAGATCGGCTGGATGCTCGGCTACTCCAAGTCCATGTTCCGCATGCGATGGAAGAAGGACCGGGGGCTCTGCGACGTGACGCGCTACGCCGACCAGTCCTGGCGCCTCGGGCGGAACCCCTTTGTGAAAACGACGACGACGAATGCCTCGTGAGCGCCGCCCGTCGCCGCGCCGAGGCCGCGCGACCCCCTTCGACTCCCCGCTCGACACCGACGCTCGCCCGGCGCCTTAAGATGGCCCGCCGGGGTTCTTTTCGCGGCGCGGTGCCGCGACGCGGGGGATCGGGCGACGCGCGTGACGGTGGGGAGCGCGGGGATCGGGCGCCGCGCTCGGTCGGACGATGTTACTAGGCGGAGCGCGCGAGGATGAGGGGCGACGGCGACGTCGACGGCGGGTCCTCGATGAGGTTGAACGAGTCCCGCGCGCGGGCCTCGAGCTGGACGCCCTCCTGCTGGATCATGGCCCGGCGAAAATCCGGCGTCGAGAGGTAGGTCGAGATCGTCGACATGGACGGGACGCGCATGCGCCCCGCGGGGCAGGGGCCGACGGCGCCGGACGCGACGACCGCGCCGAGGAAGATGAGGCCGCCGCCGGCGACGGCCGCGGACGACATGTCCTCGCCGAGGAGCGCGAGCCCCAAAACCGCGGCCCAGAGCGGCTCCGACGCCAGGAGCAGCGAGGCCTCGGACGCGCGGATCGCCGCCTGGGCTTTCTGCTGGAAGACGTCCGCGAGCGCGCCGGGCACCGCGGCGCAGTAGACGACGAGCGCCCACGGCAGCGCCGCGTCCCAGCCGACGAGCGCGTCCGCGGGCGTGGTATGTTGCGCGGCGGCGGCGGCGGCCCAGAAAAATACGTAGAAGCCAAAGCAGCACAGGTTCTTGACGGCCTGGACCTGTGTCGCGTCCGCGTCGCCCGGGACCGCGGACGTGAGGCAGAGGTACCAGCCCCAGAGCGCCGCGCCGACGACGACGAGCCCGTCGCCGACGGCCGCCGACCTCGCCGCGGCGACGGCGGCCGCCGACGTCGCCGGCGAGCCCGTGGGCGCGGACAGCAGCGCGACGCCGCAGAGCGCGACGGCCGCGCCGACCCAGACGCCGCGGCCCTGCGCGCGCCGCAGGAAGACGCGCTCGAAGACCGGCGTGAAGATGACGCTCAGCTGCAACAGGAACGCGGCCTTGGCCGCGCTCGTCCGCGCGATGCCCGCGTAGACGAGCTCCTGCGACGCCGTGTTGAAAAACGCGAGCTTCGCCGCCATGGGCCAGAGGCCCGGCGGCGCCGCGCCGCCGCCGCCGCGCTGCGCTAAAATCGCCGGCACGAAGAGCAACGTGCCCACGGCGGCCTTGCAGACGGCGACGGACGTCGTCGACGGCGACGCGGCCAGCGTAAAGATCAGGCGCATGGCGACGTCCAGCGAGCCGTACGAAAGCGCGACGCCCATGAGAATGAAGCGCGACGCGCAGGGCGCGATGCCCTGCGCCTTCTCCTCGACGAGCGGCTGGCGCTCCATTAGAGTGGTTGCAAAGCCGCGGTGCGCGCAGCTCCGACGACGCTGACACGCGATGTTGTATGCTTGCTTGCTGGAATTGCCACAAGCAAAAAGAACTTGTTGAAAAAATCAACACTCAAGAGTTGCCCCAGTGCAATGGCCATCGGCGCGCAGAAGATCCCGCGCCTCGCGCCAGCCATGGCCGCCATCGCGACGCTCCCGCGTGCTCTCGCGCGCCGCCACGCGCGCACGCTGTCCCTCAAAGACACGAGCCGCTTCGCGCCGGACAACGACGGCCAATACTGGCCCAAGACGAACTCGCCCGAGTGGCTGGCGCTGCAGAAGCGGCCGTCGAGCGGCGGCCCCATCGGCCCGCGCGCGCCGCGCGACGGCGGCCCCATCGGCCCGCGCGCGCCGCGCGACGGCGGCAACCGGAGCTTCTTCGGCATCCCAGCGGACGACGCGCCGCCCGTGCGGAGCCCCGTCGAGGAGGGCTGGCTCGAGCAGCGGCGAAAAGCGAGAATCGAGGAGCGGGCGCGCGAGCAGGCGGCGGAGGCGCGCTTCGACAAGATCCAGACGACGAACGGCGCGACGCCCCCGGGCTCGCCGAGCGCGCTCGCGCGGCCGCACCCGCTGGCGAGGCCGCCGCCGTCGCCGCGCGTCGAGCGGATGCGCGGCTTCCGCATGACGCCCGCGGAGATCAAGCGGGCCCTGGACCTCGAGGTCGTCGGCCAGCACGCGGCGAAGCGCGCCATCGCCGTCGCCGTCGCCGAGCACTACGGCCACGCGCGCCGGTGCCTCGAAGACCCAACGCGCAAGGACGCGACGTGGCACAAGAAGAACCTGCTCCTGCTTGGCCCGTCGGGCTGCGGCAAGACGCAGCTCTGCCGCGCGCTCGCCAAGGTCGTCGACGCGGCCTACGTCAAGGCCGACGCGACGAAGTTCTCCGCGACGGGCTACGTGGGCCGCGACGTCGACGACGTCGTCGCCCAGCTCGTCGACGCGGCCGGCGACGACCGCGAGGCGGCCGAGTTCGGCGTCGTCCACGTCGACGAGATCGACAAGGTCTGCGAGCGGCCGGGCGGCCTCCTGGGCGGCGGCGCGTCCGTGAACACGCGCGACGTCCAGACGTCTTTACTGAAACTCATGGAGGACGCGGAGCTCGCCGTCGGGAACAAGGGGCCGCCCGTGTCCGTGCGCGCCGGCGCGAAGCCCGCGAGCGCGACGTTCTCGACGAAGTTTGTGCTCTGGATCTTCTCCGGCACGTTCTTGCCCCTCCTCGATAGGCTCGCGCGCGAGGGCGCCGCGGGGCCCTCGGCGCGGGACCTCGTCGAGTCGGGGTTGATCCACGAGTTCGTCGGCCGCGTGCCCGTGCGGTGCGCGCTCGACCCGCTCTCCGCGGACGACCTCGTCAGCATCCTCGCCGCGGACGGCGCCATGTCGCCGCTCCACCAGCAGAAGGCCTACTTCGAGACCTACGACATCGAGCTCACCGTCGGCGACGACGCGCTCGAGGCCATCGCGGAGCGCGCGCTCGCGCACGGCCTCGGCGCGCGCGCGCTCGTCTCCGAGCTCGACGCGGTCCTGCGCGGCTTCGCGTTCCACCTCCCCTCCGCGGACGCGGACCGCCTCCACCTCGACGCGGCCCTCGTCGCCGACCCGGCCGCGGCGCTCGACCGCGCGCTGCGAGACGCCGGCGCGCCGCCCGCGTTGTAACAGTGGCTTTACCTTACGCCGTCGACCTGGCGCTGGGAGCGCCAGAACGAGAGGACGTGCCAGAAGAGCGCGTCGGGCAACGACGCGCCCCGGGCCCGGCGCTTCGCGCCGGAGTTCGCGAAGCTCGTCGAGAAGAGGCGCCTCAGGGGACCGCGCGGCGCGGTCGCGCGTCCTCGTTGGCAGAGGACGCGCAGCATGAGCAAGTCGACGCGCGGCGCGCGCGCGTAGGCCTTCCATCCGCCCGAGAGGCGCACGTCGGCGAGCAGGCGGAGGTACGTCTCGTTTTCCGTGCGATCCTCCGCCGATGCGCCGTGAAATCGATAGTCCGGGCGCGCGCCGGCGCGAAGCAGCAGGCGCATCGTGCCGCGCCGATCGACGGAGTCGCACACCAGCGAGGCGAACAGCAGCGGAGTCATGCCGGAGCTGGCCGGCGTGTCGACCGGCGTGTTGGGGTCGACGCCGGCGTGCAAGAGCATGGCCAGCGCTTCCTGGTGGTCGTCGATGATGACTCGGGCCGTGATCTTCATTTGCTCGCGCGTGGCGTGGCGCAGGAGCAACGCGAACGTGTCCATGTGGTCGTAGCACACCGCTAGATCGAGCGTGCTCATGCACTCGTCGTTCTTGTCTTCGAGCTCCGCGCCGAATTCGAAGAGCAGCGCGACGAGACGACAGAGGCCTTGGCGCACGGCGACGCGAACGATAGGGGAATCGCCGAAGATGAATTTGGGATCCGCGCCGTGCTCCAAGAGCGCCCGAAGGACGGGATAGCCGCGGTCGTCGTCGATCTCGCTCATGTGCTTGGCGCGAGCGACCGCGAGCGCCGGCAGCGTGGCTGGTGCGAACGCGGGAGATGCGAACGTCATCGCAGTCATGTTCGGGTCGCCGCCGCGCACCAGCCACTGTCGGACCGCGACTTCGTCGTCTTCGATCATAGCCGTGAGCAGCGCGCGCGTCATGTCGGGCCCGAGCGCGCCGCCCGCCGCCTCCGCCATGATGCCGCGCCCGAGACGGCGCCCAAGCACAGCCGAGCTCGGAGTGCTCGAAGGCCCAAAGAGCCGGAAAGGTTGAAGATACATCAAGCCCGCCGCCGCCGCGCTGGGCCGGGGCTGGGCCACGGCGCCGCAGCTTGCGAAGCCCGTGCCGCGATGCACCTCACGGAGGACGTGGTCAAGCGTCTGTGCAAGACGGATCCGGCGACGGTCGAGCACTTCCACATCCACTGGGTCCACGTCGACCGCGTGCGGCCGACGAGCCTGCTGCGGTGCCAGTGCCTCGTGAGCCTGTGCCTGAGCCACGCGGACCTGCTGAAGATCGAGGGCAAGGTGCTGGGCCGCTGCGTGAACCTGTGGTGGGTGGACCTGAGCCACAACCGGCTCGCCGGGGACGCGCTCGCGACGTCGGGCATCGACGAGTTCAGCGCGCTGGGCGCGCTCGACCTCGGGCACAACGCGCTGGGCCCCGAGTCGCTGGCCCCCGCGTCGGAGATCGAGGTCGTGCGCCTGACGTTGGCGGGCAACGCGGGCCTCGGCGCCGGCGACGACTCGTACCGGCGCACGGCGCTCCAGCGCGCGCCCGCCGCGTGGGTTCTAGACGACCACTTCGTGACGGCCGCGGAGGCCGCGAGCGCCGTCGAGGCCCACGAGGCCGCCGCGGCGCTGGAGCGCAAGACGTCGCCGCCGGCGTCGCCGACGTCGCCGACGATTCTAGAGAAGCGGACGCTCGCGACGCTCGGCGACGGCGACTGGAACGAGGCGTCCGCCGGCGACACGGCGACGAAGAAGCATCTCGCGCGGCACCGGCGCGTGCTCGCGAACCAGCCCGCGCGGCCGTTTTTGAGGGATCAGTACCGGCTGAAGAATCTGGTCGTCGAGTACGAGACGCGGTGCGCCGCGCTCAAGTCGTGGGCGTCCGCGGAGCCGCGCGACGGCCGGAGGACCGGGCCGCGGCGGCCGCCGAACACGCGGCGCGCGGAGCTCTGCGGCCTGCCGACGCGGGCGCGGCTCGACGCCTGCGTGCTCCTCTGGGCGTCCCTCCAGTTCGCGCCGCTGCCGGCGGCCATGTACAAGGAGGCGCTGACGATCCTGCTCGCGCCGCACGCGGGCGTCGGCGCCGTCGGCGACGTCGCGGCGCTGCCGCCCTTCGTGCGCAGCGGCCTCGTCGCGCTCCTGCGGGAGCAGAACGCGGCGGACGCCGAGGCGAGGCCGGGGGAGCTCAACGACCTCGAGCGCGACCTCGCGGCCGCGGTGCCCGCCGTCGCCGTCTGCACCCGCGTGGAGATCAACCGCTGGTTTGGGGGGTCCCGACCAAACTTTGAAATCCTCTAGCGCGGCCAAATCGAAGTCGATTCGGCCGATCTTTGGACGAATCGATCGCTCTCGTCGAGTTCTCGAAGCAGAGCGAAAGAGTCTGGTTCATTCTTTTAAGCGCACATTGACGTCGGGCTGAAGATGTGAGGTTCCGCGCAGGTCTGCACCGACGGCGGCGAGCCGCTCGGCGCGCGCCTGGGCCTCGGCGACCGGCGGCGCCTCGCCGCCGCGGCGCGCCACGCCGTCATCCTGCTGAGCCGCGCGCCGTCGTGCCCGTCCCTCGTCACGCGCCAGACGTCGTCGAAGCAGCAGCGGGCCTACGACAGCATCGGCCACCTGCTGGCCGCCGCGGGCATGACGTTCGACGAGCTCGACCGGGACTCGGACAGCGCGGAGGCGAACGTGGACAACCCGGCGCGGCCCTACGCGCGGCGCTGGGCGCCGCCGGAGCCCCCCGCGGCGCTCGACGCGTCCGCGTCCGCGTCGCCGAGCGCGACGATCGCCGAGGGCGACGACGACGACGCGACGACCGCGTCCCAGCGCGCGCTCGTCGCGGGCGTGACGGGCCCGCCGGCGGACCTGCACCGGCTCCGGAGGCCGCGGCCCGGCGAGCACGTGGAGATCCTGGAGAACGTCTTCGTGATTTTAGTGGACGTCGCGGCCGACGGGTCGCGGTGCCGCGCGGCGCCCTACGGCGGCGACGCGGTCCTCGAGCGCGGCGACCTCTGGTGGGACCCGCGGGGCTGGTGGCGCCACGCCCGGGCCGCGGCGGAGCAGGCCGAGCTCTTCCGCGCGGGCGCGCGGAGCCGGCTGCACCGCGCGCACCGCGGCGCGCACCGGAGCGGCCGCGCGTGCGCGTCCGGCGTGCTCAACGCGCCCGTGCCCGCCGCGGCGCTGCCGCCGGCGCGGGGCGGCGTCGTGTCCCTCTTCTCCGCCGACGCGGCGCTGGACCCGGCCTTCGTCGTCGCGCCGCCCGCGGCCATCGCGACGCAGAACGCGTACGGCCGCGCGCCGTCCGCGTCCTGGGCCCGGCTCCAGGCTGTGTGGAAATCAAATCTTCAACCCGACTTCAATGTTAGTGTACGCGACCGTTTCGACGCAAGGCTTTCTGCTGTGCTTCGAGAACTCGACGAGAGCAATCGATCCGTCCAAAAATCAGCCGAATCGACTTCGATTTGACCGAGCTAGAGAATTCTGAAGTTTGGTCAGGACCCCCCAAACCAGTGGTTGATTTCCACACAGCCTCCAGGACGCGCCCTGCGTCACGCTCGCGGCCCAGCCGCGGCCGGCGACGAGCGCCGCGACGCACCGCGCGGGCGCCTGGCGCCCGGCGCCCGCGCCCGCGCCCGCGGCGCCGCCGCCCGCGCGACCGTCCGGCGCGTCGGCGGGCTCGCTCCGGTCCCGGGACCCCGGCGACGACGCGCGCGCGTGGGACGCGCTCGAGCGGGAGCTGGGCCACTTCCGCGCGGAGAACACGACGACGCGCCACCTCTGGTACCGGGACCACGAGCGCGCGATGCGCCTCGCGGCGCGCCGCGCGCTCGCCGGAGGCCGCGGCGGCGCGACGACCGTCGCGACCAGGGACACGCGCGGCTCCGACACGTTCAACCTCACGCAGCTCTTCGACGACGCCGCCGCGGGCATCGAGGACGACCCGGGCACGGGCTCGCTCCAGGTGAGCGAGGGCGAGCCGCCGCCGCCGACGGGCGACCCGACGTCGACGCTCTACACGACGCCGACGTTCTCGGGGTCCTACAGCGTGCCGACGCTCGCCGGCGAGGAGATGCGGCCCCGGAGCTCCCAGCCCCTCCCGAAGAGGGCCAAGCGGCCCAAGGCCTGGTTCGCGCTGCCGGGGGGCAAGCACGCGTTCGCCGTCGTCGCGCGCGACGCGCCCGCGTGGCCGACGACGCGGACCGCGCCGCCCGGCGCGCGCCGCGAGGGCCCGAGCCCCCTCAAGCGGGCGCCCCTGCCCCAGACCCAGGACTTCACGAACGCGGCGCCCTTCGCCGAGCCCGGCCGGCTGCCCCTGAGCCGCGCGCTGCCGCGGCGGCCGAGCCGCAAGGCGACGGCGACGCCGTCGAAGCGCGACGCGGGCCCGACGTCGGAGTACTCCGTGCTCGGCGCCGAGAAGAACAAGAACCTCGAGATCCGGCTGGGCCTGGGCGGCGCGACGGGGACGCTGCGCTGCACGGCGTCGACGCCCCTGTCGCGGCCCCTCTCCCTGAGCACGCCGAACGCGCGCCGGTCCTTCCCGCAGCCCGACACGCCCCTGAGCCTCGGCTCCGTCGAGCCGGCGAAGTTCGACGACGTCGTCGCGTAACGGCGACTTATGTGTGAGCCTCGTAGTTCTCCTTATGTGTGAGCCTAGTAGTCCTCCTCGTCGCCGCTCTCGCCGCCGGGCGGGTCGTCCTCCTCCGCGGAGCGCGCCGCGACGGGCGGCGAGCCCGAGATGAGGAACGTGCGCCGCGCCCGGAGCTCGGCGATGTAGTCGCGGTCGGGCGGGTTGCCCTGGAGCGCGACGTTGAGGAGGCGGTTGATGCCGTCGACCTCGTTCGCGTTCGTCACGTGGGCGCGGGGCCCGGGCTTTTTGGCCCGGGGGAGCTTGGGCTTCGCCGCCGCCGCCGCCGGCGCGCCGCGCAGACCGACGAGGGCGTCGACGGAGGCCTGGAGGTGCGCGATCTTCGCGTCGATGCGGTCCTCGAAGGCGCGCGTGCGGACGTCGGCCTCCTTGACGATGTCCTCGAGCTCCGCGTCGCTGCCCTCGTCGTCGTCGTCGATGATCATGCGGCCGAGCTCCTCCTTCTTGGCGAAGACCGTGCGCGCGAGCTTGTGCGTGTCCACGGGCTTCTTCTTCTTGCTCTTCTTCCAGAACTGCGCCGACGGCTGCTTCTCCAGCGCGGGCTTGTCGTCGCCGCCGTCGCGCGCGCCGCCGCCGCGCTGCGCCTCGTCGAGGAGCCGCTCGAAGGCGCCCTCGGTGAATTCGACGTCGCCGAGCTCCGTCGTCGGCAGGGGCCGCGCGTCGTGGGCCGACGCCCGGTTGTGCTGGGCCGTGAGGGAGCCGCGGCGCGGCGCGCCGTGGAGGCTCGCGGGGGCGCCGTCGACCTCGCCGACGCGGTCGACGGCCGACTGGAGCACGCGGAGCGCCTCCTTGCGCGCGGCCACGTCGCCCATGATGTGGCCCCGGTACTTGATCTCGAGGTCCTGGAAGAGCGTGTAGAAGTCGTAGACGACGGACTTGGCCTTGTGCCGCGTGCCGTTCGCCTTCTCGAAGTTGTCGACGATGATGGCGAGGACGATGTTGACGAGCACGAGCACGACGAGGAAGGAGTAGAGGAGGTGGAAGAGGAGCGCCAGGGCCGGGTCCTTGCCCGACTCGAGCATGGCCTCGCTGCTCGACGTGTCGCCGTAGACCATGATGTTGACGCACGAGAGGAGCGACGTCGGCACGGTCGAGAAGTAGGACACGTCCGCGCCGAAGAGGAGGTGGCCCATGAAGGCGAAGCCGCCGACGATGATGGACAGGATGAGGAAGAAGTGGCCGAGGTCGCCCGCCGCGCGCGAGAAGGTCCGCGTCAGGATGCCCAGCTTGGGCTGGAAGTCCGACGCGTTCAGGAACCGCATGAGGATGAGGATGATGTTGAGGCCGTTGTAGACGTTGTACTGCGCGTAGAGCTCGAAGAGGTTGTCGAGGCGCACGAGGGCCTTCGTCGCCTCCTCGAGGCCCGCGCCGCCGTCCCGGAGGTGGAACATGTTCGCGAGGAGCGACAGCGAGCTGTAGATGTCGTAGCGCGCGTCGATCTTGAAGTGGTTGCAGCGCCGCTGGTAGAGGTACCAGTTGAGGATGCACGTGATGTTGAAGACGATGGACAAGATATCAATATAGTTCCAGAACGACTTGAGGTAGCCCATGGCGCTGCCCGTGTGCCAGACGATGGACGCGAACTCGCGCATCTCGAAGTACATCGTCACGGAGAACATGGTCACGAAGATGAGCTCCAGGAAGATGCGCAGCCGGTTGTCCGGGTCCGTCCACTTGTACTGGCTCATGCCCACCGTGCGCACGTAGCTGTAGAGGTCGATCTGGCCCTCCTCGGTGAACGTGATCTCGAAGAGCGTCGACGCGTACATGTTGACCTCGCCGTTGAAGGTCACGAGCTCGACGCGCAGCGTGTCCGTGTAGTAGTCGACGTAGGACCCCTCGCGGACGTAGGTCAGCAGCTCCTGGGACCGGTCGTAGCCCACGTTGACGTCGAAGATGAGCGGGTAGCCCTCGTACGCGTTGAGCCGCGCCTTCTCCGCGGGCAGCGCCTTCGTCTTGTCCAGGTTCACAAAACTAAAACCGTAGGCCTTGCCCGAGTCCATGAGCTCGTCGGCGGCGTAGAAGTCGCCGCAGCCCGGCGGGAGGCAGCTCCGCGAGTACGCGGACTTGTTGACGCCGATCGCGTTCTGGATGCCGTCGCCGTACGCGTTGTAGAGCGTGCTGTCGCGCACGAAGACGGAGTCGATGCCGAAGCGCTCCTCGGACCGCTGCGAGCCGCGGCACATGTCGTAGAGCTTCTCCTCGTGGCCGTAGACGGAGCAGCCGCGCTCGCTGTTCCGCGTCTGCTGGAGCACGAGGCCGACGAGGATGCGGTTCCGCGTCGCGACGAAGCGCTCCCGCGCCTCGTCGGGGATCACGGGCACGCCCGAGTTGGCGTCCATGACCGCGCCCTCGTCGTCGAGGTAGGTGAAGCCGTAGGAGTCGACCGTGAACGTGCGATCCGCGGCCGCCTCGAAGTCGCAGCAGCCGTAGTCGACGTCCGGCGGCCCGTAGGCGTCGAGCGTTTTCCGCACGCAGGCGGGCTGGGCGCAGACCGAGCTGCAGATGGGGTTCTCCGAGTCGTCGAAGCCGTTGCGCCACTCGGGCCCCGCGTACGTCCGCGCGCACGTCGCCAGCAGGTCGTCGTCGTAGGGGCACCACAGGTTCGGGTCCCAGTAGGGCGTCGGCACCTGGCAGTTCCGCGGGGCGTCGTCGTCGTCGCCGCCCATGGCCACGTCGAAGGCGTAGACCGACCCGCTGAAGGGGCCCGCGTCGAAGGCCTCGGGCGCGAGCTGCGCTAAGAGGCAGTTCGACTCGTCGTAGAGCGACAGCGTGCCGCCGGCCCAGCCGGCGCCCGACGCGTCGTAGGCCTCGAGGTGGTAGGCGCCGTCGTCGAGGCACCACTCGTCCGTGTAGTTGCTCCGCGCCGCGAAGGCGTCGCGGAGGCTCCCCATGACGATCTCTCGCGTCACGTTCGGCGTCGCGTACGCGACGGCGTCGTCCGTCGCCTCCTCGGTCGTCTGCTGCGCGAATTTGTCGGTCGTCGAGGCCGCGGCGGCCGTCGGCGCGCCCGTCGGCGGCCTCGTGGTCCGGTTCATCATGGGCGACATGTCCAGCGCCATCGACATGTCCCGGCTCTTGTTGAAGTTCGAGCCGTAGTACCAGAGCCGCAGCGACGCGCCGTCGACGGCGTCCGCGGTCTGGGCGACGATGCGGTAGCGCTGGGCGCGCGGGCAGCCGACCCATCCTGACTTGAGCGTGCCCGACGGGGCCACGAGCGCGTCGCAGCCCGCGCCGCGGTTCTTGCCCCCGACGACGTCGAAGTCGCGCGACGGCGCGCCCGACGTGCGCTCGCTGCCCCACCAGTCGTCGTCGCCGTCGTCGCCGTAGGCGTAGTAGTCGTCGCCGTCGTCGTCGGACTCGTAGAACTCGCCCGCGTAGGCCTCGGGCAGGAACTTGACGGTCGTGCCGGACACGTACGCGGAGACGAGGCAGCTCGTCGCGTCCGCGTCCACGTAGGACAGGGCCACGGTGCCGTCGATGGACCCGTAGTCGCCCGTGCCCGAGCCCGTGTAGACGTGGAGCGTGTAGTTGCCCGCCCGCGCGCACCACTTGGACAGGTGGCCCTCCGGGAACGCGCGGCCGTCCGCGTCCGGGTCCTGCGACGGCGACGCCTGGAGCCGCGACACGTACTGGCCGTGGGAGCCCGCGGAGACGTGGACCTGGAGGTCGCCGTAGCCCGCGGGGAAGATGAGGGACAGCACGAGCTCCACGGGCGCGTCGTCGGGGCAGGCCGCGCCGTCCTTGAACGCGATCGCGTCCGAGCCCGCGGCGGCGACGCCGGACTCGACGAGCGTCTGCATGAGGAGGGGCTCCTCGTAGGCGTAGACGTAGGCCGCGTCCATGTCCCGGTAGCTCTCCCAGGGGTCGGCGCACTGCTGGGCCGTCGGGTGCGTGTACTGGAGCTTCGTGTACGCGAGCGGGTAGCCCGGGCTCGTGAAGTTGTTGTAGGCCGCGGCCGCGTTCGTCGACGCGAGCGCCGTCGAGCCGCCGACGAAGGACGCCGCGTCCTCGAAGAAGTTCTGCTCGTCGCCGGCGTAGAAGAGCCGCGCGGAGCCCGGCCCGCAGAGCGTCTCGCCGTCGATGACCCACGCGCGGCCCGTCGAAAAGTCCGCGTCCGTCGCGGACTCGGGGAGGAAGTTCCAGTCGAAGTCGAAGACGGTCGACGTGTCGTTGGACCCGCAGACGTGCACGACGGACCAGATGTCGCCGTTGGACGTCATGCCGTCGCCGTTGTCCGGCGTGCCCATCGTCGCGAGCGACGCCTCCTCGCGGAGGGGGTAGCGCGCGGGCGGCGCGGACACGGCCGCGCCGGCGAGGTCGAGGGCCTGGTAGGCCCTCTGGTAGGAGGACAGGCGCCAGGTGCCGTGCGCCGCGTCCATCTTGACCTCGAGGCCCGGGACGTCGCAGGCCCGGGCCGCGGCCGTCGTGTTCACCTCCAGATTGAACATCTGGAGGTCGAAGGAGTAGCCCAGCGACGTGAAATACGCAAAGTCGGGGCCCTCGCGGTAGCGCGCATCCTGGGGCGTCGCCGCCGCGCCCGCGACGTCCGCGAGCGGGCAGCCGCCGTCTGCGTCGACGACCCACGCGCGCGCGTCCGCGAACCACGTCCCGAACGACGCCAGCTTCACGACGACGTGGCCCTCGTCGGCGTCGTCCCAGTCTTCGCCGCAGACGTTGTCGTCCTGGGTGTACCAGAGCGTGTCGAAGGGGTCCTGGACGTAGGACTCGAGCAGGTTGTCCTCGCACGCGTAGTCGTCGACGGCGGGCACGCAGAGGTCGACGTAGTTGAGGCCCGACACGAGCGCCTCCACGAGGAAGTAGTAGACGGACGTGCACTGCGCGTCGTCGAGGTGGTCGACGCCCGCGGGGCAGCGCCGGTAGTCGACGGACGCCCAGCCCGTGTCGACGTCGACGGCGTCGCCCGGGTCGCACTGGCTCTCCGACCCGGGCTGTGGCACGTAGACGGCCACCGTGATCTTGCGCAGCGTCGCGTCGTCGCAGGACTCGTCGACCCAGTAGTAGTAGGGCGCCTCGAGGGGCGTCATGTCGTCCGGCAGGGCGAGCTCCGCGACGTCGACGGGCTCCGGCGCCGCCGGGAGCGACTCGTAGCTCGGGTGGCAGCACGTGTAGAGGTACGTCGACTCCTTGGCGACGTCGTCGGGGGCGTGGCAGGCGCTGAACTGGTGTCCCACCTCGAAGCCCGCGTCGCAGGAGCCCGTCCCCGGCGCCGCGCAGCAGTCGCCCGGCGCGCCGCTCTCGAGGCACGCGGCCTCGTCGTGGTCCGGGTAGCAGTCGTAGCGGTCGCGGTCCCCGACGAGCGCGTCGCCGTAGCTCACGTGCGTCAGATTCGTGAAGACGCCGTAGTCGCCCTCGGCGTAGCGGCTCGTCACGGACGCGCAGACGTACGTCGCCGCCTGCGTCGCGAGCAGCACGGCCGTGTGGCGCTCGCCCGGCGCGCAGTCCGGCGAGCCGTGGACGTTCTCCGGCGCGACGTAGTTCTCCAGGGCCGGCGGCTGGGAGAACTCGTCGACGAGCGGGAAGGGCCCCACGGCGCCCTCGTCCCGCGTGGGCGCGAACTTCGTCGGGAGCGCGGGGCAGTGCTCGTAGGACGAGTACTTGCGGGAGAGCGTGTCGTTGAAGCCGCCGTCCGTGTAGTTCACTAAAATCTCCACGTCCATGGCCCCGAGCGGCGCGTCCCAGGAGATGGTCCACTCGCCGTCGGGCACGTCGTAGACGAACAGCCGCGACTGCGCGCTCTCCTCGAACGACACCGCCGGGTCGCTCCAGCAGATCGTCTCGCCCGTCAGCAGGTCCACGCCCATGTTCGGGCCGCTGGAGCAGATCTGGAAAGACGTCGCGTCGACGAACGTCGCCTCGGACGCCTCGGACGAGACGATGAACGTCGCGTCGTCGTCGTCCTGGTACGCGCGCCGCTTGTCGTAGTCGTAGCGCGCCGTCGCGCGGACCGCGACCTTCGTCGTCTGCGTCTGGACGCCGCAGTCCGCCTGGCAGCCGTAGGCGAACATGGCCGGGTACTCCTCCGGCAGGTAGCACGCGTTGTCGCCGCACTGCGGGTTCTGCCAGTACGTCTCCAAGAACGTCTCGTCGATCCACTCGTAGATCGCGTCGACGCTGTCGAAGGTACTCGCGTACTCGCCCGTCGCCGGGTCCGTCGGCGCGAGCGAGTCCAACAGCGTCGTCGTCAGGTCGAACTTGACCTTGACGTCGGCCTGCATGTAGAGCGCGGACGCGTAGACGAGGACGAAGACGCAGAGCACCGTCAGCGCGACGAGCTTCGACTTGTACTCGTCCAAACTGTCGAAGCGGTCCGCGACGTCCCGCAGCACGCTCTGCTGGATGCCCATGGCCTCGTCGGCCCGCATGTCCTTCATCTCCTCCGCGCTGATCTTGCCGTCGCGGTTCGCGTCGTATTCCAGAATCCGCGCGGCCTCCTCCGCGCCCCGCGCCTTGATGTCGTGCTCGTCGAGCTCCACGGGCGTGTCCGGCGCCGCCCGCCGCCGCCGCCGCCGCCGCGCCCCGGGCACCAGGCGCCGCCGCCGATGCCGCCCGCGCACGTCCTCGGAACCGCCGGCGACGCCGTCGACGTCGACGTCCTCGATGTCGTCGAAGTGGGTCTCGGAGCCCTCCTCCGCGTCGCAGGGATTCGTGCACGCGGTGACGTCGCCGCGGAAGAGGAACATGACCTCCACCGTCACGGCCGCCGACGCGTGCGGCCAAAAATCACGCGGCCAGCCTTGCTCGGGCAGCCCGAGAAGGCATAGAAAACGCCGGATCGTTGGCGGCAACAATAACCTGTAACGCCACGACTCGGCGTACCGCGCCGCCGCCGCCGACGACGCGACCACGATGCGCTCAGCAGCGCTCCTTCGCGGCGTCTGCGCCCTCGTCATCGTCTGCCAGGGCGCAAGCCTCGTCGCGCCTCGAACAGCAGCATCCTTCCGTTCGCTCCCTCTCCGCGCGACGGGCAGCGACGGCGACAAGTCGCTGCTGCTCCAGGCCGGCGAGGCGAAGCTGTCGGGAATCCTCACGGTCGCGCTGGTCGTCAGCAACGGGCAGGCGAACGCGGTCGACGGCGCGTCGGCGCTCGAGGCGGCGACGGCGTTCCCGCCCGGCGGCCCGGTCGTGATCGCCGCGGCCGCGCTCGCCGGCCTCTACACGCTGTGGAAGGTGCAGCCCGTCATGGCCGCCGTGCAGGCCGAGGTCGCGCGGCAGGACGCGGCGGCCGCCGCGCGGCGGGGCGAGTAATGCGCTTATCGTCGACTCCCGCGCTCCGCGGCGCACGCGTCGCCGTGGGCCGCGAGCACCGCGCAGTCCGAGCCGCCGTCGCAGGCGACGAGCAGGTCGTCGAGGCGCGGCGCGACGGCGACGAGCGCGGCCTCGACGTCGTCGAGGGGCGCGGTCCAGACGCGGGGCGTCCAGTCCGCGCCCGCGCTGTAGGAGACGGCGAGGTGCGTGCCGTTCGCCGTCGCGCCGGCGGCGAACTTGGCGCGGCCCGTGGCGACGCGCCAGGACTCGGCCGCGCGGCACTCGCCGCCGCGCGCGGCCGCGAAGGACCGCGCGGCGAGCGGCAGGGGCCGCGCGGACCGCGCGAGGACCGCGAACGGCGGCGCGGCGTCGAACGCGTAGGCGTAGTGCTCGTAGAAGCGCAGGCAGCCGAGCTCGGCGTGGACGCGGACGACGGCGAGGTAGTAGCCCGCGGGCTCGCCGTAGTCCCGCAGACCCGCGGACGCCACGGACGTCGGCCGGCCGCGGACGCGGCGCGTCGCCGGCCAGGCCGGCGGCCGCGGCCGGTCCAGGAGCACCGCCGGCGTCGCGCCGAGGAGCGGCGGCCGCGTGCGGCAGCCGCCGTCGAGCGCGCGGACGTCGGCCCAGAGCCGGTCCGCGGACGAGATCGCCGCGCGCTCCGCTGCCGCGACGCGCGCGCCGCCCCGCGCCTCCGCGGTCGCGTTCACCCGCAGGACGACGTGGGGCTCGAGGGCCGAGACGAGGTAGAGCGCGTCGCCGCCGACGAAGGGCGTGAAGGCGCGCTGGACGCTGCCGAGCGCGTCGCGCGTCGACGCGACGGGCAGCGGCGGCGCCGCGAGCGCGCCGTCCGGGCCGACCCGCGCGAGGTACTGGAGGATCTGCAGGTCCGACGTGCACCAGGCGCAGCCGCCGCCGCGCGCGTTGCACGTGGGCCGACCGGCGAAGAGCACCCAGGGCTCGCCGCGCCAGCCGAAGAGCCGCGGCTCGTCGACGAAGCGGACGCCGTAGGGCGACTTCGAGCCCCCGCAGGACGCGAAGCCCGCGTCGGCGATGGGGTCCGACGCGACGCAGCGCGACAGCGCGCCGCGCTCCACGGCGCCGACGACGAGGCGCGCGTCGAAGCCGACGGTTTCGTCGCCCGCGCCGCGCGGCCGCGAGAGCCGCGCGGCGAACAAATCCGCGCCGCCCACCGTCGCGATGGACGGGTTCGACAGGGCGCCGTCGAGCGCCGCGCAGGACGCGTCGACGGCCAGGGGACCGTCCCGCGCGCGCGGCAGGTCCGCGAGCGGCGCGTAGACGAGCCCGGGGGGCCTCTCCGCGGCGTCCTCCGGCGGTTCCCCGCCGCCGTCGAACGCGCGCGCGACGACGCCCCGGACGACGCGCGTCAGCGAATCCTTGGAGAGGTGGTCCGCGACGTGGCGCACGGAGTTCTCGGACACGCGGCGCCACAAAGCGTCGTCCACGAGCAAATCCGCGACGGCGCGCGCGAACGTTAGCGCGTCGTCCGCGACCAGCAACACGTCGCCGTCCTCGTCCAAACCGAGGCCCCGGCAGCCGCCCGACGTCGTCACGACGGGCAACCCGTGGCTCATGGCGTTGACGACCTTCGTCGCGATGCCCGTGTTGTTGAAGAGCGGCGCGACGAAGACGCGGCGGTACCGGAGGAGCTCCGCCGTGAGCTCCTCGTCGCTGAGCGCGCCGACGTGTTTCACGCGCCTCTGGGCCGCCCGCGGCGCGTCGCGGTAGGCCTGGCGCCAGCGGTGGGCGTCGAGGCCGCCGCCCGCGAGGTGGAGCGTCGCGTGGGAGTCCACGAAGTCCTTCGGCATGCCCTTCTCGTCCTCGAGCACGGCCGCGAGGCGCGGCAGGACCTCGCGCACGAACCATTTCACGGCGGGGATGGCCAGGGGGTGGGGCATGCCCACGTAGAGCAGGCCCGTCTTGTTCCAGAGCGCGCCCGCGACGGGCTCGTCGCTCGCGCCGACGTCCGTCTGCACGAAGGGCGCCCAGGACACGCGCGGCGGCGCGCGCGACCGGCCCGCGAGCGCCGCGTCGACGGCCGGCGACGCCCCGTAGAGCAGGTCCAGGTCCGCGGCGATCGCGTCCGCGTCCTCGGAGCTCACCGTCAAGACGTCCGCGGCCTCGTAGTAGAGGGCCAGCTCGCGCCGCTTGAGCCACGCGAGCATGAAGGCGACGTTCAACGGCTGCCGCGCGCCGACGTCCTTGAAGGCCTCCGCCGCGCGGATGTGGTGCACGTCGTCGGTGAGCGCGACGACGCGGAGGCCCGGGCTGTGCGCGCGCACGCGGGCCTTGATCTTCTCCGAGGGCAGGCTCCCGAGCTTCGGCTCCTTCCACCAGTACTGGGCCTTCTTCACGGCGGCGCGGAAGTGCATGTCCACGGTCAGCGACGTCACGAAGAGGAAGAGCGCCTTCACGTCGGCCTCGCCGCCGCACGCGTAGGGGAGCATCTGGTCGAGCTGCTGCTGCGTGTCGCCGGAGTAGAACCGCGTGCCCGCCGGCGCCCAGGTCGTGTCGAGGAGGTGGCCCGGCGGCATCTCGCAGTGGCAGATGAAGTGGACCGTCAAACCCGCGTCGGACAGCGACCGGACGACCTGCTGCATGCGCATGAACATGCCGCCGCGGCCGCCCGCGGACTGCGCGCCGTGGTAGACCTTGAAGAAGGCGACGATGACGTCGCCGACGAGGCGCTTGCCCGCGGCGCCGCGCACGGGCATGGACCCGTTGGCCTCGGCGAAGGCCACGGCCGCGGACCGCGCGGCGACGCGGCCCTCGATGAGCTCGAGCTGCACGGGCGGCGAGTCGAGCGCGGCCGCGACGCCGCCGAGGCAGAGCTTGCTGCAGGAGAGGAGCGACTCGAAGGACCGCATGCTGTAGCCGTAGCCGTCGAGGGCGCACTCGTAGCGCCGCTTCACGGTCCAAAAGTCCACGTGGCGCGCCGTGGCCACGAGCTTCTCCTCGTCCGTGTACTGCCCCCGCTCGCGCTCGCACTCGCGCCGCACGAGGTGCCACTTCACGCCGCGCAGCCAGCAGCGGATCAGCGCCGCGTTCGACGCCACGCCGAGCATGCGCGCGGCGGACGGCGACAGCGCGGGCGCGGGCGCCGCCGGCGCGGGGGCCGCGCGCGGCACCATGGCGAGCACCGCGGCGGCGACGTCGTCGTGGACGGCGGCCTCGCTGTGGACGACGACGCAGTCGACGCCCGTGAGGCACTCGCCGACGAGCGCCTCGACGGCCTCCATCCAGAACGCGAACGCGGAGACGACGTCGTCGCCGAAGGGCGTGAGCCCGCGGCCGTGGCGGTGGCCCGGCCCGCCGGCCTCGGAGCTCTGGATCTGCCGCGCGAGGCCCATGGACACGGCCCAGGCCAGGGGGTGGCGCAGCACGACGACGAACGTCGCGCGGCCGCCCGCGCGCGCCGTCGCGGCCGCGAGGCCCTCGAAGACCTTCTCGCCGACGGGCGGCGCGCCGGGCACGCGCACGACGGCCTCGCGGCGCAGCGCGCGGCCCTCGGCCTCGCTCCACGTCGCCGCCGTCGCGGCGGCGGCGCCCCGGCCCGCGGCGACGAGCTCCGCGACCGCGTCGGACCCGCTCATCGGGAGGCCCGCGACGAAGATCGTGTCGCGGTTGTTCTGGCGGCCGTGCGCGGTCGTCGCCGCGGCGGCCGGCGCCGCGACGCCGAGCTCGGCGAGCGCCTCGTTGACCGTCGCCTCGTCGCCCGCGGCGGCCGTCGGCGCGGCCGTCGCGGCGGCGGCGGCCGCGGGACCCGGAGCCTCGAGCGCCGCCGCGACGACGTCGGCCGCGGCCGGCGACCACGGCTCCGGCGGCGGCAGCACGAAGTAGGAGCTCGGCGGCGCCGCCGCCGCGCGGCCGTGCAGGGCGCGGAAGCCGACGAGCGCCGCGACGTAGCCGAGCCCCAGCAGCGCGACGAGCCACGCGTACCACCGGCCGCCGCTCCGCCGCTGCGCGCTGTTGTGGCGCAGGTCCGCGCTGGCCGCCGCGGCGCGCCGGCGGCGCGAAACGCTGCTGTGCATTGGTTTCTGCAGCTACGAGTGCATCCCACTATATGCTTGCACCCATCATCGTCATCACTTTGTTGTTTTTTTATGAAAAAAGCATTCTTGCACTTAGATGCTCGTCGCTTGGTCGCGGGCGCTCTTCGGGGGGAGTTGACTGTCCGCTCAGCTAGATCTAGAACGGCTGCCTGCGAGTCGCCTGCGAGCGCTCACTCAAATAGGCAGTTAAAGAGAGAGGCCCGGCGCTTATCAAACAAACTTCCACGGAACAGACGATCTGGAAGCCCGGACATGATCCTGCCTACCGTCGACCCCAGGGGGTGTTCGCCGCCGGCGGCGGGGGCGGGAGGGCCTCGGGCGTCCCGACGTCGGTGGGGAGGGAGACCGTCGCGGTCGTCGTCCCCGCGCCGAGGTCCGAGGCGAGGCGGAGGCCGCCGCCGAAGTGGCGCGCGTAGAGCTTCGCCATCGGCAGGCCCATGCCGACGCCGGAGACGGGCGCGAGGGACCCGCTGTTGTAGCTGCCGCCCGGGTCGTCGAGGCGGTCGTAGCGCGCGAGGCCGGGCCGCAGGGCGAGGCAGGCGGCGATCGCGTCCTCGGGCATGCCGCCCCCGCGGTCCGTGACCTCGACGACGACCTCGCCGTCGCCCGCGGCGAGCGCGACCTCGACGGGGCTCAGGGGGAAGTCGTCGTCGTCGGCGTCGCGGCCGTGGTCGCGGATGCGCCGCTCGACCGTCGCCACGAGGGCGTTCTTGAGGAGCTCGTGGACGACGTAGGTCACGTGGTGCGGCACACAGAAGGCCGAGACGTCGCCCCCGGAAACGGCGACGACGGGGGGCTCCAGGAGGTCGTAGGCGTACTCGGTGAGCATGACGGCCTCGGTCGCGGCCGCGTCGACCGCGGCCGCGACGCTCGCGCGCTCGCGGGCGGCGCCGACGCCCCGGTCCGGCGTCGCGGACCCGCCCGGGTTCTCGAGCTCCGGCGCGTGCGCCGCGAGGTGGTTCCGCAGCAGGAGCGACGCGCCGATGTGCGCCGCGAGGCAGTCCTCCGCGAGCGCCGCCTGCGACTCGTCGATGGCGCCCTCCTTGAGCGCGTCGACGACCGACGGCCCGAAGAGCGCGTGGCGCTGCTCGACGGAGACCAGCGCGCGGTGCACCGCGACGAGGTCCTCGCCGACACCGCCGACGAGGCCGCCCGCGGCCTCGAGCTCGTCGACGACGCCCGAGTAGAGCGCGACGACCGTCGCCAGCCCGCGCGGCTTCTTCGACGCCGCCTCGAGCGCGCGGACGCGCGCGAGCTGCTCGTCGCAGCGCTCCTTCACGTCCGCGTACGTCGTCGCCGCGGCCTCCGCCGTGGGGAGGCTGCAGTGGGCGAGCACCTCTCGCAGCGTGTAGGCGCGCGGCGACGACGCCGCCGCGCCCAGCGCGCGGCCGCGCCCGGCGAGCCGCGTGAGCATCGCGTCACCTGGCTTAGCAATGAAACAAGCGAGTTGTGGTGCTGGGTGCGATGCCACCGCACGAGGTGCGTTGCCACCGCACGTCGTCCACGACGATGACTCGTCCCTGGGCGCCGAAGTAGATTTGTCAAAGTGCAATATGAAGTTCAAGGAGGCGCTGTTGGACGCATTCCTCCCCGATGTCCGCCGCCCGCGGCCTTCGAGGAGCCGCCGTCGGACGACGACCTCGAGGCGCAGAAGGGCGGGATTACTACTGGGCATAGTAATCATACATACGAGAATCCAGCTCTTCTTAATCCGGCGGTCGCGCCGCGGACTTCTCCGCGGCGGCGGCGCGGCGCCTCGACTCGAGCCGCGCCTTCTCCTCCTCCTCGCGGGCCAGGATGCGCTTCCACTTGGCCACGAGGTCGCGCGCGCGCTCGGCGACGCCGCCGAGCTCCGACTTCCGCAGCGCCCCCAGGAGCCGCGTCACGGACTTCAGCGCTTTCAGCGCCTCCACGTCCACCTTGCACCGGTCGAGCCCGGCGATGACGTCGCGCACGCGCGCCGCGTCGCCGGACTTGTGCGCGCGGGCCAGCGCGCCGCCGAGCGTTCGAAGCGGCGCGACGAGCTTGGGCTCGGAGCCCCGCGCCGTCGCGCGCTGCCGCAGCTCCGCGCGCAGGTCGTCCTTCGCCTTGGCCTCCTCGTCCTCGTCGTCGCCGCGGTTCTTCGTCCACCAGCCGACGGCCGTGCCGAGGTCGTTGTTCGCCCAGTCCTCGACCTCGTAGCCCATCTCCGCCGCCTTCCTGTCCGCCTTGGCGCTGTCCGACGCGGCGCTGTACATCTTCGTGTTGCGCAGTGACGCGATCCGCCGCAGCGTTGGCGACTCCTTCAGATTGTAACGCGATCTGCCGCAGCGGCGACTCAGTGCCGTCGTGTCTCACGATTTGTCCATGCTCTCAGTGGCAACGATGCAGTGATCGCTAAAGGAAAGGTTTTGCGAATTAGCAAAGTGCAGCCCCGCATTCATAGAGCTAGCGCCGACACCAGCCGCTCTCTCTCGGTGCTCTCGCTCGCCCGACTCGCTGGCCGGAAGAGCAACCCGAAGAGCAGCACCCCGACCATGGGCGCCGGGGCGACGACCCTGAGCAAGGACGAGGCCAAGGCGGCGGCGCCGGGCGCGGGCGTGGCCGAGTTCGACGATGCGGCCTGGGAGTCGCTGGAGAAGGACGCCGAGGGCAAGGTGAGCTGCGAGACGCTCAAGGGCGTGGCGAGCAAGTACGCGGCGGCGCCCGCCGAGCCCGCGAAGCCCGCGGAACCGCCGGCAACGACGGCAACACCCGCGGAGCCGGCGCCGGCCGACGCGCCGTCGGACGCGGCGTCGAGCGTCCCCGCCAAGTACCTGCACCCGGACCACCCCGGGAACGCGGAGAAGATCGAGCACCTCGCGCCCGGCGGCTTCGCGACGGGCTCCTTCGCGCAGTCGTTGCAGGCGCCCGAGAGCCTCGCGGCGGCGGAGAAGGTGCTCTTCAAGCTGCACCAGGTGCTGAGCCACGAGGGCGACAACGCCATCAGCGGCTTCGGCGAGACCTACGCGGCGCCGACGGTCAACTACCACACCATGTTCAAGGCCGTGGACCTCGACGGGAACCGGCAGATCGAGCGCGACGAATGGAACAAGGTCATGCGCCGCGTGCTCTGCCTCAAGGGCGCGGAGCTGAGCGACGACGAGCTCATGGCCGTCTACGACGCCGTCGACGACAACCACAACGGCACCATCAGCCTCCAGGAGTTCGCGGCCTTCGCGCGCGGCGGGCGGTGGACGTCGCCGCACCACCACCAGGGCCACGTGCGGAACCGCGCCGAATTCAAATCTTCAACTCGACTTCAATTGTGAGCGTACGCGGCCGTTTCGACGCAACTTCTTCGGCTTTGCTTCGAGAACTCGACGAGAGCAATCGGTTCTTCCAAAAATCAGCCGAATCGACATCGATTTGACCGAGCTCGAGAATTCTGAAGTTTGGTCAGGACCACCCGAACCAGTGGTTGAATTCGGCACAGGTGCGGAACACGTCCTGGGGCCTCGTCGGCGGCTTCGGCGGCGGCCACGACGACGGCACGGCGACGGGCACCTACGGCAGCGGCGAGGTCACGGAGGACATGCCCCACTACAGCGACAAGAAGGTCACGCAGAAGGCGCGGTCGTCGAAGGTCGCCGAGCCGGCCGGCCTCGACGCGATCCACCTCGTGCTCTACCACCTCACGCAGGAGATCGCCAAAGAGAAGGGCAGCCGCGTGTCGGGCATCCACAAGCACCCGGCGAAGGTCAACTACCACGACATGTTCAAGAAGCTCGACATCGACCACAACAACCGCGTCACGCGCGAGAACTTCGCGCTCGTGCTCCGACGGCAGGTCGGCGTCGGGGCCCACGTCACCGACGCCGACCTCGCCCTCATCTTCACGGAGATGGACACGGACAAGAGCGGGGCCCTCTCCTTCTCCGAGTTCGCGGCCTACTGCAAGGGCGCGGCGACGCCGACGATCGCGCGCGGCCTCGCCTACGAGGCGGAGAAGAAGAGTCGGGCGCCGAGCTCCGCGCCCGCGCCCGCGCCGTCGTCATAAGCCTCGGAGACATTAGAACCAGCCCCGCTCCTCCTGCTGCTGGCGGAGGCGCCGCGCGTTCGCGCGAAAGTCCGCCGCGGCGCACTCGAGGCCCGCGGCCTTGTCGTTGAGCTGCTCGAGCTGCTCGCCGCGCTTCTGGAGCGCCTCCATGCCCTCGGCCAGCGCCCCGGCGGGGTTGTCACGCCGCGCCGCGGGCGGCGGCGGCGGCGCGGGCGGCGGCGCGGGCGCGCGCGCCGCGCGCCGCTTGTTGAAGCAGGCGTCGCAGCTTCGCAGCATTTCGGCGACGCCGCCCTCCTTCAAGCTCCTCCGGCGCCGCGCGGCGTTCGCCGCCGCGCGCGCGCCCGTCGTCGGCCCCGCGTCCGGCGGCGGCGGCGCGCGGAGGTGGCATTTCTTCGAGGAGCAGGCGCCGCAGCAGAGGATGCCGCAGAAGCGGCAGTGGTGCCGCCGGTGCACGAGCGTGAAGTGGAAGTCGCAGAGGAGGCACTTGGGCGACGCCGCGTCGTCGGTCCAGGCGTGCGCGGGCGCCGCGGCCGGCGGCGCGTCGGACTCCGCGGGCGCGAGCGCGGCCCAGGCGGCGCGCTCCGCGGCGAAGGCGCCGCGCGCGCTCGGCCGCGCGCCGCCGCGGACCAGGGCCGCCGCCGCCGCGGCGTTGGCGCCCGCCGCGTCGAGGGGCGTGCGGCCGTCGCGGCCGACGGCGTTGGGCCGCGCGCCCGCGGCGAGCAGCGCGGCGACCGTCGCCTCGTCGCCGTTGGCCGCCGCGCGGTGGAGCGGCGCGTGCCCCGCGTCGTCGGCCTCGTTCGGGTCGCGGCCGAGGTCGCGGCAGAGCATCTCGCAGGCGCGCGCGTGGCCCCGGGCCGCGGCGGCGCCCAGGGCCGTCTCGCCGCCGGCCGCGGCGTCGTCGGCGCCGCCCGCCTCCAGCAGCGCGCGCAGCGCCGCGGCCGCGGGCGACCCCGGCGGCGCGTGCTCGCAGACCCGCGACGCCGCGAGCGCGAAGAAGGGCGTGCGCCCCCGCGCGTCGCGCGCGCGCGCGTCCGCGCCCGCGGTGAGGAGCGCGGCGATCGCCGGCCGGTGGCCGAACGCCGCGGCGACCTGTGCCGGAATCAACCACTGGTTTGGGACGTCCCGACCAAACTTTGAAATTCTCTCGCTCGGTCACATCGAAGTCGATTCGGCTGATTTTTGAACTGATCGATTGCTCTCATCGAGTTCTCGAAGCACAGCGGAAATGTTTGTGTCAAAACGGTCGCATACGCGCACATTGAAGTCGGGTTGAAGATTTGATTCGCACACAGGCGGCGACGTGCAGCGGCGCGGCGCCGCGGAAGTCCGCCGCGTCGCCCGTGGCGCCCGGCGGCGGCGACGCGGCCGCGCCCGCGTCGGCGCCCGCGTCGACGAGCGACCGCACGGCCCTCGCGTCGCCCGCGTAGGCCGCGTAGTGGAGCGGCGCGAAGCCGTCGCCGTCGCGCGCGTCCAAATCGTCCGCGGCCTTCAACAGCGCGGGCAGCGCGCCCGCGGCGCCGAGGAAGCAGGCGGACCAGAGCGTGCCGCGCATCTTCTCGTGGCGCCAGCCGATGGTCGCGGCGCCGCCGGCGTCGAGCTCCCGCGCGACGCCGAGGAACGCGGCGGCGACGTGCCGGAGCCAGCCTGGGCAGCAAAAGGGTGATTCAACGTCGCTTCAATGTGAGTGTTCCGCGCGCGCGCGTTCCGGAAAAAGCATCCACGCTTCGAGACCGTTCCGAGAGATGATCGCTCGTCCAAAAATCAGCCGAAACGAGTGGAAAATGGCCGAGATATGAGGCTTTGAAGTTGGGAATTTCGCTCTCTTGTCCTGCCCTGGAGCCAGCCGTCGAGGTCCGCCGCGTCCGCGGCCAGGAAGCGGAAGCTCCGCGCCGTCGTGCCGATCTCGAAGCAGGGCTTCGCGTGGCTCGCGGCCAGGTCCCACCGGAGGTCCTCGACGTAGAGCACGTCGGCCCAGGGCACGCACTGCTTCGCGAGCAGCGGGCACGTCCCGTCGTCGTCGTCGTCCGTCGCGGACGACGCGCCGCTGCCGCGCCACCAGCCGTGCTTCTCGCCGTCGGCGCGCGTCGCCACGATGAGGGCGTCGTTCAGCACGAAGACCTCGCGCGCGTGCTCGCGCTTGAACGTCGCCTCCGTGCCGACCTTTTGCAGGCAGCCGCCGTGGACGACGCGCCGCATGCGCTCCTCGGGCAGCGCCGCGCCGCCGCCGGCGAGGGCGTCGCCCGCCTCCAGGCGGGCGAAGAGCGCCTCGACCCGGTCGAGCTCCGCGGGGCTCGCCATGACCTGGAGGCCGGTGGTGACGGGCACGGCGGACTCGCGCACGTCGGCCTCCAGCATGGCGGCGACGAGCGCCGCGTCGAGGTCGTCGTCGTCGTCGTCGTTCGCGGCGTGGTGGTGCGCGAGATATTGCTCCGCGGCCTTGGCCCCGGTCACCGAGGACGCGCGGTCGTCCATTCTGCCAGTCCTGATGGTCCAGACCGAGGCTGCCCCAGGGGAAACATCGCGGCAATGGGGCTTCACCATTGTCCTCTCGATCGCGCACAGCAATGCGCCGCCTTTTGGTGGTGGCTGCGTCGGCCAGCGCGCTGCAGCGCAGCAGCCAGAGCATCCGATTACCGACGCGCCGGCACTCCTCGGTCCGCAACGCGCTGCAATCGGCAGTCGAACGACTGCGCGCGGCGTCCGTCGCCGAGCCCGAGGCGAGCGCCGAGTGGCTGCTGGCGCACGTCCTCGGCGCGACGAGCCGGAGCGCCGTGGCGCAGGCCGTCGCGGCGCGGGACGACTTGGACCCCGCCGCCGCGGCGCGCTTCGACGCCATGGTGGCGCGGCGGCTGCGGCGCGAGCCGACGCAGTACATCGTCGGGCGCTGGGCGTTCCACGACGTCGAGCTCGAGGTCGCGCCGCCCGTGCTCATCCCGCGGCCGGAGACGGAGGAGCTCGTGGACCTCGTCCTGGACTGGTGGCCCGGCGGCCCGGCGCGCTTCGCGGACGTCGGCAGCGGCTCCGGCGCGCTCGGCCTCGCGCTCCTCAACGCGCTCCCGCCGGGCTCGAGCTGCGTCGCCGTCGACGTCGAGCCGGCGGCCGTCGCGCTGTCGCGGCGCAACGCGGCGAGCCTCGGCTTCGACGCCGCGCGGTACCGCGTCGACGAGCGCGGCGCCGCGGACCTCGAGGGCGCCTTCGACTTCGTGGTCTCGAACCCGCCCTACATCCCCACGGCGGACCTCGCGGGGCTGGCCCCCGAGGTGCTCGACTTCGAGGACCGCGGCGCGCTCGACGGCGGCGCCGACGGCCTCGACGTCGCGCGCGACGTGCTCGACGGCGCGCGGCGGTGCGGAGCTCGCGCGGTCTGGATGGAGCTCGACGAGACGGGCCCCGCGCGCCTCTCGTCCATCGTCGCCTGCGAGACCTACGTCGACTTCGCGGGCCGACCGCGGTTCGTACGGGTACCAATCTAGGGGCTTCTTAGGGTCGTCGAACGAGCGGTGCGGGGCGAATTGAGTACGCGGGCGCGGCGGTGGCGTCCAGTCCGTACACACGAGCGCGACTACGAGGTCGCCGAGAGCAACAGGGAGCCGGGCAGGCACGGCACGACGTACTTCACGCAGAGGTTCCGCGGCCGCTTCAAGATCGTGCCGCACGCCTCGACGTCCGGCGAGGGCGTCGCGCGCTCTCGTCGGCTCTGCGAGTTCGGCACCGTCGCCGCCCGCGTCCGCGCGAGGGTGTCGCTCAGGCTCACGTTGTTGTGCATGTCGTCGAGGTCGACCTCGGCCATGAGAAGCTCCTCGTCCTCCAGGAAGGAAGTTTGCGGGCTGGTGTGCTCGAGCTCCAGTTCGTACTCCAGCTCGAGCCCTTCGCCCTTCTCCATGCTCGCGGCGCGATCGGGCTGCCCGCCCGAGCAGCTACGCGCTCGTCCGGCGATGTGGCAACCGAAAGGGATGGCGTGTTATTTCGCCTCGCTCCCGGCACCGAGGCACCGATCGACGTTTTGATGCTTTACTTCGCGTTTTATACTAGTAGATCTACCTCAACGATAGCCTTTGCTTTGCGTGAAGCGTTTGACGGCGCGCTGCGATGGGATGGCCGTCTTTGAGGGCCCGCCGCTCCGCGAATATGCAGAATTGTGCAACGATCCCAGCAGCTGCGAGGGCCGCAAGGATGAGGGTGAGGCACATGCGAAGACGCGGCGCTCATACGACAGCGTGGCGACTGGAACGGGGAGGTAGAGTGGGTGGGAAGCGACGCGCTGCCCCCTCGCGACCCCTCTAAGATAGTTTTCGAGCCATCGCAGCAGCGGAGATCGTTCTTTATCGACCCCGTCGCGTCCAACCCGGCGGGTTCCTCGGGGGAGCCCAAAATCATCGAGTCCACCAGGTCGAGCTCAGACGGCGCCACGGCCACGCAGCCCTCGGGGACCGACCTGAGGTCCCCCAGCCCAAGGTCGAGGGCCCCGAGGCCATCCCATCGACCCATGACCCGGATGGAATCGTCATCTGAGGCGAGGACCCGCGTTTCCGGCGACGATCGGGTCCTCGTGACGCCCCGAGGCAGCCCATCCAGGGCCCCAGACGCCGCGCTCTCCGAAGCGTTCTCGCCCTCAGATCTCGTGGTCTATCCCGGGCAATGCCCCATCGAACGCGATCGACACGCTCATCTGAGGGCAGCTCCCGACGGAAACCCTCCCCCGGGGCTGCGCTGGACAGCGCCATCGGAGAGCGCTTCAAATGTCGAGAGCATTCAGCATCGCTTCAAGTTCTAACAAATCTGAAGAATGCTTGTTTGGGCTGCCCCTCACAGTGCGGTTCAGCGACGGCTTTGTGAGCTCGTGGCAGTACTGCTGATGCTCCTCTACCTCCGCCGCCACTGGACGCACCGGCTGCAACAAACCATGGCGTCGATGGTCGGGACGATCGCGCCGACGCCGCTCACGACCGAGTGGCTGGCCGCGCACGGCTGCGACGTCGAGGACGGCGAGGACGTGGACGGCGAGGAGCCGATGGAGGCCGGCGAGAACGGGTCAATCTCGCGCGTCGCGCTGCGACGGCGCGGCGGCGAGACGAGGACGCTGGTCGCCAAGCGGCCGCCGACGTCGCCCGCGGCGCTGTCCGTCGCGGCGACGCAGCAGTGGTACGCGCGCGAGCTCTTCTTCTACGAAGCGCTCGCGGGGCGGCTCGACGCGACGACGATCCGGGCGCCGCGGCGCGCGGCGTCGGCGCTGAGCGCCGCGACGGGCGACTTCTGCCTCGTGCTCGAGGACCTCGCCGCGTCGGGCTGCCGGCCGTTCCGCGAGGGCGACGCGGCCGCGGGCGCCGCGGCGCTCGGGCGGCTCCACGGGTCGTTCCTCGGCGCCTTCGACGCGCTCGACCGCGGCCCGCTGCCGGTCATGCCCGTGCACGTCGAGCTCGCGGACTTCATCGAGGCCTTCTTCGTCAAGTGCTGGGCGAGCGTCAAGGCCGGCGGCGTCTACGACCTGGGCGCCGAGGCCGCGGCGCTCGTCGACGCCGTCGCCGCGCCGGGCGTCTACGCGTCCCTCACGCGGCGCCTCGCGGAGCCGCCGCTCACGCTGCTCCACGGCGACTTCCGGGCCGCGAACCTCATGGTCGACGAGGGCGGCGCGGTCGTCGTCTACGACTGGCAGTTCGCCGCGCTGGGCAACGGCGGCTACGACCTCGCGTACTTCGTCGCGCTCTCGGCGCCGGTCGACGAGCGGCGGCGGGCGGAGGGCGCGCTCCGCGCCGCGTACGCGGCCGCGCTCGCGGAGGCGTCGGGCGCGCCGGCGCCGCCGCCGGACGCGCTCGCCCGGGACGCGAACCGCGGCGTGCTCCTGGGCCTCGCGAGCTTCGTCATCGGCGCGGCGACGGCGGGCGACGCGCCCGCGTCCGTCGCGACGCACCGCGCGGGGCTCGAGCGGCTGAGCGCCGCGGCCCTGGACTGGGGCGCGGTGCCCCGGGACTTGGTCTAATTCGGAATGCTACGGCAGCTCCTCGCGGTTCCCCTGGACTTGATACAACTCGGGCGACATAATCAGAGCACTCCACTATTACGGCAGCTCCTCGGGCGCGGCGCACGACGCGACGGCCTCGTCCCAGTTGTTCATGACGCAGAACCACTCGCCCCTGGCGGCGAGGGCCTTGCCGTCGATCCAGCTCGAGACAGCGCGGAGCTTGCCGCAGGTCGGGTCGCAGCACTGGATGTACTCGACGTCGTCGAGCCGCCGCTTCTTGGGCCGCGTCAGGCCGAGGTCCGCGAGGCGCTGTTCGGCCGCGTCGACCTTCCGGAGGCGCTTGACCCAGCCGCCGAGGAAGCCCTGGACGCGCCGGTCCTCGGCGCTCAGGTTCTTCGCGTTCCAGTCCTGCTCGGGCGCGTCGCACGTGTTCCGCTTCGGGTCGGGGTTCATGGCGCAGAACCACTTCCGCTTCTCCAGCCGCTTCATGTTCGTCGTCCCGGGCAGCGCGCGCCACTTGCCGCACTTGTCGCAGCACACCCACGCGACGTCGGGCGCGATGCCGCGCCGCTTCGCGAGCGCGTCGAGGTCCGTGGTGTCGACGACGGGCTCGCACTTGGCCTTGCGCGGCGGCCGCGGCGCGGGGGCCGGCGCCGCGGCGTTCTCCGTCTCCATCTTGGCCGCGGCCGCGCGGGCCGACGGCGGTCGCGCCGCCGCCGGCGCGGGCGTCGCAGTAGACGCCTGTTCTGGACCAGTGTCAGACTCCATTGCCACAGCCTCGAATGCCAGAGGACCCCGATGGTGGCCCTCCAGCGGCCGCTCCTGAGCCTCTGCTTGGTCATTTCCACGCCATTCCTCACCGCGCTCCGACCACCGCTTATACGACACCGCGCGCCGTCGACGCTTTTCGGCGCGCTCGAGGACGGCGACTATTTATTGCAGGAGGCTGTCAAAGCGCTCCAGGACACGAGCTTTCAGGAGGCGCGCGACCTCGTGGACCTCGCGCGCCAGTGCTACGCGGAAATTGAGGACGACGCGGCGCGGCGCGCGGAGCGCGAGGCCCTCTGCGGCGAGCTCCAGACGCAAGTCAACGCGTACCTCGCGAAGACGCGCGCCGCGCGCGCCGAGTCGCTCGCGGCGCTCGACCGGCGAAAAGCCGCGCCGACGGACACGGCCGGCGACCGCATCCTGCGCAAGGCCGTCGCGGACCTGGCGTCCCAGGACTACGCGGCCGCGCGCGCGGGCGTCGACGCCGCGCGCGCCGCGTTCGCCGCCGACGGCGTCCGCGGCCGCGAGACGGCCCTCGGCAACCTCTACGCGTCCATCAACGCCGAGGAGGAGCGCGCCACGCGCGCCGAGATCCGCCGCGAGCAGGACAAGGCCGAGGCCGAGGAGGAGGCGCGGCGCCGCGGCCGCCAGCTCGTCGCCGAGCAGAAGATGGCCGCCGCGTTCGGCGGCGGCGGCGCGGGTGATGCGGCGGGTGACCCGGACGACGAGGAGGAGGAGGACGACTAGCGTAATCGTATACGGATATTGGCGTCAGGACGCTGCAACACGGCTTCATCGAGTCGAAGCTGCTCCCAACATCCAAAGCTTGCCGGGCGAGACGAAGCTCGAGACACACGCACTCGTCAGCCGTGCGCCCCGAGCCAGGTGAATCTTTGTCGCCCCGCTGAACAAGGCGCTCGGGACCGACGCACTGCTAGCGTCGACGACCTCGTAAACGCGAATCGGCATCGCCCCCGCCTCGACACCCGAAGAGATGGGCCGCCGCGCCCGCAAACTCGTGCTGCTGTCGCTCGTCGGCCTGTCCCGGGGCTTCGCGCCGCGCCCCGACGCCGCGACCCTCCGCTGCGACACGCGGGCGTCGTCCGTCGCCGCGGGCGACGCCGCGGCCGTCGAGTCCATGCGGTCCGCGCGGCTCGACGCCGTCGAGGACGCCGAGGACATGCGGAAGATCTTCGAGGCCGGCGCGGACGTGCAGCTCACGGTGGAGCAGGAGATGGAGCTCGAGGACAAGCTCGAGGACGTCGGCTCCGTCTTCGACGCCGAGGACATGAAACGCATCTTCCGCAAGGGCGCCGAGGCCGAGGGTGGCGCCGCCGGCCTCAAGGGCGACGCGTCCAGCCTCGGGGACCTCGACGACGCGTCGTTCAAGTTGCTCATGTGGAAGCGCCTCGGCCAGAACGACTTCGACCGGATATTCAAGGGCCCCCGCGTCGAGTTCGAGATCAAGTGACCCGCCCCGCCGCCCCGCCCCCTACTGTAAGCACCCGTCGTCCGTCTCTCCCGGCGTTAGTCGGGCGGCGGCCCGCCCGCGCGCGTCGCGCCGGACACGTCGACGATGGTGTTGAGCGTGTTGTCGCCGACGGACGTCGGCGAGCAGTAGTCGAGCACGGAGAACGCGTGGGGCGGATTCGCGTACGCGCCCTGGATCTCGAAGGCCCAGGGGTCGCCCGCGTAGGCGACCCAGACGGAGCCCGGGACGCCCGCGTCGCCCGCGCCGTGCTCCATGGCGTAGCCCGTCGCGTGGGAGTGGAAGTAGGTCGTCGGGCTCGCCCGGAACGCGTCGAGCGCGGCGTCGAGCGTCATGTCGTCGCTGAACTTGAGGCCCACGTGGCTGTCGAGGAAGGCGTCCCAGCCGCTCTCGGGCGCGCGCATGTTGCGCGCGTGCGCGTCGGCCGCCGCCGCCGTCAGGTCCGCCAGGATCGTATCGTCCGCGTCCCGGCGCTCGACGCTGCGGACGCTGACGAGGTGCGTCTTCGGCGAGAGCCGCCGCCCGGGGAAGGCGCCCCCGGGCGTCGCGGCGGCGATGCGCTCGAAGCGCGTCGACGTCACCGTGCAGGCGTCGGCGTAGGTCGCGTCGACGTCCAGGGTCGCGCCGTAGGCCGACGCCGCCAAACCCAGGAACGTCGGCGTCGCGGCCGCGTCGAGCGACGGCCACGTCGTCGAGACGACGAGGAGCGACGGCAGCCCCGTGGCGGCGTCCGTGCCGCCGCCGTAGGTCGCGTAGGCCGCGCGCAGCACGTCCAGGGAGTCGTCGAGCGCGAAGGCCTTCGGGCACCGGTCTCGCGACGCGAACGACGCCGTGATCTCCGCGTCCGCGTCGTATTCGGCGACGACCTCGATGTCGACGCCCGCGCCGGGGAGCCGCGCGACCAGGGACGTGAGGTCGTCGGCGCCCCGGGCGACGGCGAACGACGCGTTGACGCCTCGCAGTCGCGCCGCGAAGGGAGCGACGGACGGCGCGTAGAACGTGAGGCTCGGCAGGGGGTCGCTCTGGTCCGCGGCCCAGCGCTGCGGGTAGGCGGCGCCGGCGTCGTCGCAGCCCGCGGTGACGAAGCTCCGGAAGAAGTGGATCTGGAACCCGTCGAGCGTGCTCGACGCGCTCCGCTCCGCGCACAGCGACTCGCCCTCGAAAAGGGTCTCCTCCGCGAGAATCGTCTCGAGGCCGAAGCCCTCCCGGAGGAGTTGTGCGTCCGCGAGGGGGTCCACGGACGTGAACGTGCGCTTGTAGATGGAGATGGTTCGCGTATTTTTGGTCTCGCTAGGTGTCTCGAGGAATTCGTCTTGCGTCGCGAGGGGGAGCGTCGGGGGGACGCCGAACCAGCCGGCGACGACGAAGGCGGTGCCGAGTGATAAAAGGACCGCCCCGGCCGTCGACCTGGCGGCCTTGGGGCCGGACGCGCGCGCCTCCATGAGGCCAAGTGCGACACCCACTCTCAAGTGTGGCGAAACGCTGGCGAGCGAGCCGCTGTTCGACCGGCCTCGTCGAGCTGTAAACCCGACTGCTAAGCGACCGCAGCGGCGACCGAACGCGAACGCGAACACGATGGCCGAGCTCGAGCAGACCACACCGACAGAGCCGGAACCCGTTGTCGAGCAGACCACAGCCGACGACGCCGAGGAGAACTATAGCAACGCGCTCCAGGAGAACATCGCGAAGCGCGGCAACAACGCGTACTACTACGCGCACGGCCACCGGAACAACGCGCCGGCCTGGGACGGCGACGCGGCGCGCTCGCCGCGTCCGCTGCGCGCTCGCGCCGCGCGCTCGTCGACGGCGCGCGCGCGCGCCGTCGCGCGCGAAAGGCCGCCCGCGGCGAAACGAGAGCGTTCGCGCGCCGACGGCGCCGACGGCGCCGCGGGCCGCGGCGCGCGTCGTCGCGCCGGCTCGGTAACCGCGCACGCTCGCGCATCTCAAAAACTCGAACCCCCGCGCAGGAGCCCAAGCTGCTCGAGAAAACGGAGATTGTCCGCGAACGAAGGAAGCTCGCGATCACGAAGTACTCGTGGCTCGACGAGGACACGAAGATCCGCATCTACATCCCCATCGAGGACGGCCGCTTCCAGCAGCCGGGCGCCGTGTCGCTCGAGTGCACGGACAAGAGCGTCACGCTCGTCGCGGACCTCGGCGACGAGGTCCACACCTTCGCGGTGCCCCAGCTCTACGACAAGATCGAGAGCGGCGCGTTCAAGGTCAAGCCGAACAAGATCGTCGTCACCCTGAAGAAGCCCAAGGAATCCAAGTTCAAGTGGTACGACCTGAAGAAGTAGGCCGCGGGGATTTTGCTTCGTCGTCCCGCGACGGACCAGGAAGCGGTCGCGCGCCGCTGGCGCTTGTTCGGCTAAGTGGACTCACACACACGAAACACACGACGCCCTCGAGGACGCCCCATCGAGGACTTCATCGAGGCCCGTGTGAACCGATGCAACCTAAATATAGTATCCTTCGCGACGAGTATGGTGCACTTTGAATGATGCCATCCTCTGGTTGGTTTCGCAGGGGGCTGCAATGCGGCCGTGACTGACGGAGCTCCATGGAGGAGCCCGTGGACCTGTCGGCGGCCGCCGAGGCGGCGGGCCTCCCGATCGTCGAGGAGGTCGCGGCGCCGGCGCCGGCGCCGGAGTCGGCGGCCGGCGGCCGCGTGACGGACGAGGAGCTCGCGGCCTACGGGAACGAGTCCCGCCCCACGGACACGAGCGAGGAGGGTGGCTCGCGGACGGCCGCGACGTCGCGGCCGAGCACGGGCACGTCCCGCGCCGACGGGTCCGTCGCGTCCGGCGCCGCCGCGGGCCTGAGCGACGAGGAGCTGGGCGCGTTCCTCGCCGCGAACGCCGAGGCCGAGGCCAAGCGGCCGCGGTCGTCGAGCCCCGCGTCCGACGCCGAGCTCGACGCCTACATCGCCGCGGGCACGTCCGAGTCCAAGCAGAGCGACCCTCCGGCGGCCGCGCCCGCCGGGGACGACCTCGAGGCGCACGGGTACCGCCTGTCGGCGCAGAACGTCGCGCGCGCGGCCCGGGAGGCGGCCGCGGCGGCCGAGGCGGTCGCGTCGACGTCGCCGGAGCACATCATGCGCGCCATCGCGGCGCCGAACCCCTACCAGTTCCGGCGGAGCTCGCGCAACAGCTTCGGGAGCGTCTGCAGCCGGACGCCGTCGTTCTCGTCGCTCTGCGAGGAGAAGGAGCTCCTGGAGGAGCGGCCGCCGTCGAGCGAGCTGAGCAACCCGCTCGAGCTCGCCAAGGCCGTGCCCGAGGACCAGGAGCAGGGCTCCTGGAGCCCGCCGCCCGCGGGCGACGGCCGCGGCGACCTCCTGCGGTCGAACGCGCTCGCGCGGTCCGACCGGCGCGACACCGACGCCGGCGCGCCGGCGGCGGCGCCCGCGAAGCCGCCGCCGACGGCGTCGGGCCCGCCGCCGAACCTGAGCGCGCGGCGCGCGTCCCTCGGCGCGCGGCGCGCGTCGCTCACGCGGCGGACGTCGATCGGCGCGTCGCTCGGCCGGCGCCTGAGCCTGCGGAACGTCGTCTCCACGGTCATCGACGGGCTCGGGCAGGACGGCGCGAGCCCGCGGACCCAGCGGGGCTCCAAGGACAGCGTCGCGTCCCTCGAGGGCGACGACGGCGAGGGCAAGTCGCCGACGAAGAGGCCGAACCGCCTCATCCGCCAGCTGACGATGCGGACGCTGGCGAAGCGCAAGAGCCGCGACCTGACGGGCGAGGGCGACAGCCCCAAGTCGCCGGAGAAGCCCGAGGAGAAGAAGAACCTGGGCCGCATGCTCATGTCGGCCGAGAAGTTCGAGAAGATCATGCAGTCGCAGAAGCTCGGCCGCGACCACGAGTCCATGGTCAACCAGTTCAAGCTGCGCACGACGCCCACGGCCCAGCAGGGCGACAGCTCCTGGATCAACCGCGCGCTCAGCTCGTCGAAGCACGTGCGCGTCCTCGCGCCGCGGGGGGAGCGCGGCGAGAGCGGCTGGTCGCACGCGGGCCGCGTCGCCCTCATCCTCGCGACGCTCGCCGAGGAGCGCGACTTCCTGCGGGACAAAAGCGAGGAGGACGCGCCGCGCCAGCTGCGGGAGCAGGCGATCCTCGCGTTCCTGCGGGCGACGTGCCCGGCGCTCGTCGCCAAGGTCGAGACGCACCACGAGATCGCGGACGAGCTCGTCGCGCTCCGCGCCGCGCTCGAGGACCGGGGCGTCTTCTCCGTGTCGACGGGCGAGCAGCACCTGTTCCAGTGCGGCACGCTCGAGGAGGTCCGCGCGGAGATCGAACGGCTCGAGGCCGCGGAGAAGCGCGAGGGCTGGAAGCAGGCCGTCCCGCGGTGCATGATGCGCAACTGGAAGACGTCGACGCCGACGAAGGAGGCGCGGAGCGGCGCGCGGCCCGACAACGGCACCTGGGCGAGCCTCAGCGACGCGGTGCTCGACCCGGACGGCGCGATCGCGCGGTCGTGGGGCGCGCTCATCGTCGCCGCCGTCGTCGGCCAGGTCGTCGTCGTCCCCTTCTGCCTGTCCTTCCGCGCCTGGCGCGCCTTCGCGCCCCTGGCCTGGGCGACGGACGCGCTCTTCGCGCTCGACGTCGGCGTGCAGCTGCGGACGGCGTTCCACCGCCAGGTCGCGGGCGACGCGGCGGCGGCCGCCGCGGAGGCGCAGGTCACGCGGAGCGCTGTCGAGTGGAGCCTGCGGCGCATCCGCGAGAACTACGCGCGGCGCTGCCTCGCCGTCGACGCCGCGGCGCTCGCGCCCCTCGGCCTCGCGGCCGCGCGCCTCGCGGCCGGGAGGCGCGTCGCGCCGGCCGCGCTCGGCGCGCTGCGGCTCGCCAAGGTCCTCAAGACCTTCGCGGCCTTCAAGGCGGACACGGGCCCGGGCCGGTCGCGGTTCCGCGACACGCTCCAGTTCTCCAAGTACAGCAACGCGCTCAACGTGCTCCTGCTGCTCTTCGTGCTCATGGTCATCATGCACGCGACGGCCTGCGCGTGGCACGGCGTCACGACGCGGGAGCACTGGGAGCGGCGCGTCGAGGCCTTCAACGAGCACGCGCGCGAGGACTTCGGGGACGACGCGGAGGACGCGGGCGCGGGGGAGGTCCGCTACGGCGACACGTCGCGGCGCTGGCTTTATATTATGGCCCTCTACGAGAGCGTGCTCATCCTCATGGGCGAGGACATCGACATCTCCGCGGAGCGCGAGCTCGCCTTCGCCATCGTCGCCATCATCATCTGCGCCGTGCTGCTCGCGATCGTCTTCGGCCAGGTCTCCGTGCTCATCTCGAACATGAACGAGCGGCCCCAGGCCTACCGGAAGAAGCTGGCGAAGCTCGACGACGCCATGCGCCAGGACAACCTGCCCGAGGTGCTCCAGGACCGCATCCTGGCCTACTACAAGTGGCTCTGGGAGGAGCACAACACGCTCGACGGCCGCGTGAAGATCGCGCTCTTCCTGCCGGAGCTGAGCCCGAACCTGGCCAAGGAGGTGCGGCTCTTCTGGTGCCGCGACATGATCCTCAACGTGCCCTTTTTCCGGCTCTTCCCGTCCCAGGTCGTCCAGCGGTTGGTCTGCGCGGTCCGCGTCGAGTTCTACATGCCCGACGACTACATCATCCTCGTGGGCGAGTTCGGCCACGAGATGTTCTTCATCAAGTCGGGCACGGTCGACGTCTTCCGCATCGACGAGGCCGAGGTCCAGGTCACGCGCGACGCCAAGCTCAAGAGCCGGGGCTCCGCCAAACTCGACGACGAGAAGCGGCAGACCTTCGGCGACAAGCTCTTCGAGCGGCTCCGGCGCAACTCCAAGGGCGAGTCCGAGGAGGCCAAGGCCGCCGCGGCCGCGGCGCTCAAGGCCGCGGGCGGCGCGGCGCACGCGCCGGGCCTCACGGCGAAGCCGAAGCGGCGGCTGTCGCGGAGCATCGCGCCAGTCTTCGGCGCCGCGGCGCCGCGGCCGCCGTCCGCGGGGCGGCCGCCGTCCTGGGGCGACAAGCCCGGCGAGCGGCTCGACTCCGCCGCGTCGGAGGCGTCGGACGACGCGGCGGCCAAGGGCGACGGCGCGCCGCGCGCGGCCGAGCGCGCCGACGGGCCGAGCCCGCGGCCGACGTCGCGGGGCCTCCGGGGCCTCCTCCAGCGCGACGCCCCGACCGTCGGGTCGTCGACGACGCCCGTGACGCGCGGCAGCGGCTTCCTCCGGAACAAGAAGGTGTCGCCCGGGTCGCCGCCGGCCGAGGAGGCCAAGGAGCCCGCGGAGCCCGCGTCGCCGCTCTCGGACCCGGAGTCGCCGTCGACGCGGACGGAGAAGATCCAGCGCGAGCAGATCGTGTGCAGCCTGCGGGAGGGCGAGTACTTCGGGGACGTCGCGCTGCTCACGAAGAGCCAGCGGACCGCGACCATAAAAGCACGGACGTTCGTGACGTGCGCCATCATCAGCCGCGACCAGTTCGAGGGCCTCCTCGCGGACCACCCCGAGGCCTGGGAGAAGTCCATGACCATCCTGCGGGACAAGTACAAGCTCGGGCCCCAGGCGACGCGCGCGGAGGAGCTCCGGCACGAGGTCGTCGCCAAGGCGTTCGCGGAGGCGGAGACGAAGCGGAAGCGGACGCTCGAGGGCGGCGGCACCGAGGCGGACGTCAGCAAGCGCCTCGTCAAGCTCCAGCAGATGCTCGCGCAGCTCGAGGCGGACCTCCCGGACCAGATCGACCGGCTGGTGGACGCGCGCGCCGCGCGCGCCGGCGACGCGGGCGCCGCCGCGGAGGAGCCCGCGCCGCGGCGCGCGTCCACGGGCGCCTCCGATAACCTGTGATGTTGTGTTAGACGACGTCCACGGTCGCGCGCGCGCGCGGCGCGGGCCAGGGCGCGCCCGGGGGCTTGCGCGAGCTCGGGAGGACGGCGATGAGGGGGTGGGCCGCGCCGAAGACCTGGCGGAAGTTGTTCGCGTAGCCGCGGTCGTAGGGGTTGCGGAAGCGCTCGCCGCGGACGCGCGCGCGGAGCCGGAGCGTGTGGTTGCCGTAGAACTCGATCGTCGTCTGGGCCGTGAGCACGAGGTAGCAGTGCCAGCCGAAGAGGATCGCGACGGCGAGGCCGACGGAGACGGCGAGCACGAAGGTGAACATGACGGCCGTGCGCATCTGGTTCGTCACGCGGACGCCCCGGATCATGCGCGGGTTCCGGGGCCCGGCGATGAGCACGAAGTCGGCGAAGGTGAGGCAGATCCCGTAGGCGCAGGCGCAGGAGACGTAGAAGAGGAAGAGCACGAAGTACCGGTAGTTCGCGAAGCCGACGCAGTTGAACATCCAGGGGCAGTAGTGGTCCATGTTGAGCACGAGCTTGCGCGTGACGTGGTCGTAGTGGCTCCGCGGCGCCTTGGGCCCCGCGGACCGCTTGCAGTAGCCCCACTCGTAGGGCCCGCGCTCGAGCCACGACGACGCGCTGAGCCGCGTGTGGAACCCGGGCGCCGGCGCGCTGCGGGGCGGCCGCGCCCCCGACGTCAGGCGCTTCGACTCGGCGGACGTCGGCGCCTCGACGTCGGCGCCCGTCGACGCGCCGTCGACGTCGTGCGTCCGCGCGTAGTCGAGCCAGTCGCCGGCCGACAGCGTGCCGTCGACGCTCGCCGCGCGCACGAGGTCGCGGTAGACCGTCGAGTCGTGCGTGCCCGGGTTCGTCAGCACGCAGGAGAAGTAGTTGAAGAGCCCGTTGAAGCAGAGGAACGCGATCCACAGCGCGTGCGCCCACCACCGCGCGGACCATCGCTCCGCGAAGCGCGGCACGAGCACGTTCAGCGCCCAGTAGGTCTCGCAGGACACGAGCGCGATGACCGTGACGATGAGGCAGGGCCCCAGGATCAGCATGCTCCACTCGAAGCACATGACGGCGAAGCGCTGGCACATGTGGATAAAATAGTAGTTCCGGTTGCTGGACAGGCAGTCGAAGCACGGCGCGCACCAGCGCCGGCGCTTCGCCTCGCCCATGGTGATTGATGTGGTGCGGGGCGACCGCTCTCGAGCGCTGGGAGGCCCTCGCGGCCTATGGCTGCGCGCAGCACATCGCGTCTCTCGCGATTGGTTTTCTTTCCTTTATGATGCCGTTCAAGCTCGTTCAACTTTAGTCGTCGGGCCGCGACGCGGAGCCGAAGAAGCGCACGCCGTCCTCGGGCGCGATGCTCGGGACCTGGCCGGCGGCCGTCGGGTGGAGGACGAGCTTGAGCACGAGCGAGTAGCGCGGGCGGTCGCCGGCGGCGGCGCTCGGGGCCTGGACGCTGTGCGTGATGTCCTGGTCCAGGAGCACGACGCGCCCGGGCGCCGCGGCGACGTCCAGAACCTCGCGCGTCGGCGGGTCGAGGAAGCGCGTCGGCGCGCCCCACGCGTCCCGCCACTCGTGCGGCAGGTAGATCACGGCGGACACCCAGCGGGGCTTGCCCGGCGCGCGGTTCGGGTACCGGCCGTGGAAGTCGGTCCAGGGCCCGTTCGGCAGCAGCATGGGGTCGCCATCGATGTGCCAGCCGTAGGCGTCGCCGTCGGCAGCGACCGGCGCGTTCGCCGTCAGGGGCGTCACGCCGTCCAGCGCCGCCGCGGAGATGCGGCTCAGCACCACGGCCTCGTCGTTGCGGCGCGCGAGGTACGCGGCGATCCTTGACTGGACCTCCCGGATCGGCTCCGGGACGCGCGTCTCGTCGCAGAGGCGCCGGATCGCCGTCTCCGCGAGGCCCCAGCACGCGCCCGAGACGTCGTCGTCGCCGCCGATGACGTCCCGCAGCGCGCCGCGGCGCCAGCTCCGCCGGTCGACGCCCTTGACCGGGTCCGCGCGGCAGAGCGCGAGCAGCTCGGCGCGCAGGGCGTCGTCGACGAGGCCGTCGATGGACACGACGCGCGACGTGTCCCAGTAGCGCGCGTCGCCGTCGGCCCAGGCGCCGTCGAGCGCGACGTTGTCCACGACGCGGCACGCGTCGGGCGTCCAGCCCGTCGCGCGCGTGGCGACGGGCACGCGCAGGCCGTAGGCGTCGCTGTGGTCGCGGACGGCGGCGTCGAAGCGGCCGCGCATCCGCTCGGGCGTCGTCCACGGCGCGTCGTCGGAGCCGAGGCTCAGCAGCGGCGCGACGCCCCGCTCGTCGAGCGACGCCGCGATGCCGTCGAGGAGCTCGGACCGCCGCGGGATGCCCTCGAAGACGGCGCATCGCTCGTGGCAGAGGCCCGCCAGCGGCACGGGCTCGAAGACGACGCCCGTGGACTCCAGCGCCGCGGCGACGAGCGCGGCGGCGTCGGACGACGAGATGCCGTGCGACGTCACGAGACGCTGGAGAGCGCTGCCGCACGGCAACAGGAGCCAGGCGAGCAGGGCGGACATCGTCGCTCTGCCGGCACGCATGCGTCGCGTTACGTGTACGACGAGCAAGAACAGGCCTCACATCGAGAGCATCGCGTCGGGCTCAAGCTCAACTAAAACTTTATACTTCATCGTCAACTCGGTGCACCACTTTCAGGGACGATGTCGGGCTCATCGTGGCAGCCCGCCCTCGGCGGCATCGCGTGCGCGGCTCTCGGTGCGATGCTCGCGGTCCTCGCACTCACGTCCTCTCAAACTTCGACGCTGTCGCTCGCGTCGCTCGACGCGAGCAGCCGCGACAACAGCACGCGCCTCTTCGCCCCGGCGGAGCTCGAGCGCTCCTACCGCGACGACGGCTGCGTCTCCGCCCTGGAGCGGTCCTTCGAAGCGGGCCTCGAGAGCAGCTGGCACTCGTTCAGCGGGTGGCGAAACGCGTTCGGCGCGCCCGGCGACGCGGTCCGCGTCTGCGCGTCGAAGACGTCGTCGTCCCAGTGCCCGCCCGGCGAGAGCCTCGACGACCTCGGGCTGCGCTTCGAGCACCTGTCCTGGGTGCGCCGCGGCGGCGCCGAGGCGCTCCGCGTCCGCCCCGCGAACGCGTCGAGCGTCGTCGTCGCGATCCACGGCGGCGGCTTCGTGTCGTTCTCCGCGGCGTCCTACTACGCGCCTCGATTGGCCGGCACGGCCGCGCGCCTCGGCGCGGCGGTCTACCTTCCCGAGTACACTTTAGCGCCCAAAGCGACGGGCGCGGACGCGGTCGACGAGGCCGAGGCGATTTTAGATTTGGCCATCGAGGAGCACCCCAACGCCAAGATCGTCCTCTTCGGCGACAGCGCCGGCGGCGCCGTCGCGGCGTCGCTCGCGATCCGCGCCGCGAAGCACGGCGTCGCCGTCGCGCTCCAGGTCCTCGTCGCGCCCATGCTCGCGGCGTCGGACTGGGGCCGCTTCGCGAGCTACTGCAACCGGAGCGACCACGCCTTCGCGTCGTCCGTCGTCACGACGCCGCCCGGTTTGGCCTACGTCTGGGGCGCGCGGGCCCGGGGCCGGGAACACGCGCGCTTCTCCGCGGACTTCTCGCCCTTCGACGCGTCGGACGACGAGCTCGCGGGCGTCGCGCCCGCGCTCATCGTCGCGTCGACGGACGACGTCCTCGTCGACGAGGCGCGGCTCTACGCCGGTAGGCTCGGAGCGCGCTACGTCGAGTACGCGGACCTCCAGCACGACCCGATCCTCCGGTCCCGGCCCGTCTGGGAGGCGGCCATGCGCGACGCCCTAGCGACGTCTTAGTCGGAGTCGGGCTCGGGCTCGTCGTCGAGGTAGTTCGTCACGGCCGCGTCGTCGCCGCCCGCGGCCGGCCCCGCGGCGGCCTTCCGCTCGCGCTCCTCCTTGGCCTGCTTCGCCTCCTCGCGCGCGCGCGCGGCCTTGCGCTCCTCCTTGCGCTTCGCGGCCATGACCTTGGCGGAGATGGGGTTCGCGCCGAGGCGCGCCTTGAAGCGGCCCTTGGCGATCTCCCGCTGCTGCCTCGACGGCTCCGTGGGCGGGAGGCCGCGCGCGGCCTGCTTCTTGCGGTCCGCGGCGACGCGCGCGCGGTGGTCCCGCAGGCACTTCTTCGTGTCCTTCAACAACCGGTCCAGCGCCTTCTCCTGGAGGCCCGGGCCGGCGATCTTCGCGCCGCGGTCCGGGTCGACGACGAGCGCGCGGCGCACGTCGAGGTTCGCGAGCTCCGCCGTCGGCGCCGTGATGGGCGACACGAGGGCCACGTTGTCCAGCAGCAGTTGGAGCACGCGCTTGTGCTGCCACTTGCGGATGGGGTCCTTGGGGTGGGCCGCGTGCCAATTATCTAAAAGCTTCAGCACCGCGGGCGCGTGGACGTAGCCGAAGTAGGCCAGGCACTGCTCCATGTCCTGGCCGACGAACTTGAAGTTCAGCCCGCAGCGCTTCACCGTGAGCATCAGGTAGGTCCCGCTCACGGTGCGCCCCTTGCTGTAGACGGCCTCGACGTGCGCGCCCTCGAGCTTGCGCCGCGCCTCCTCCTCGAGCTTCTTCCGCGCGCGCATGCCCCGCGTGCGCCGCTGGAGGTGGAGCACGGCGCGCTGCTGGACCTCCATCAGGTGGCGCCGCTGGGCGCCCCGCGTCTGGGACTGGAGGTAGGCCGCGGCGCGGTGCAGATGGAGCCGGTGGAGGTGCGCCTTCGCCCGGCGGATCGCGAGGCGCGTGGACTGGATGTCGCGCTGCTTGAGCTGGAAGAAGATGCGCTTGAAGAGGCTGCGGCTGTCGAAGCCCTTGTAGCCCCTTTGCAGGATCTGCGCCGAGAAGTGCTCGACGCGCTTCGCGGCCTCGCTGTCGCGGACGTCGCGGACGTCCGGCAGCACGAGGCGCATGGGCGGCCGCGCCGGGTCGTGGTCGAGCTCCGCGGCGTCGTCGTCGACGGCCAGCACGAGCTCGCCGTGGATGACGTCGGCGAGCTGGCCGTTCTTCTTCGCGCTCAGCGCCTCGGACCGGGGGAAGTGCTTCGCGACGGCGAAGTCGAGGTCCGACTCGTGGAGCACGTAGTCGCGCGTGCGCCGCCCCGGGGTGCCGTCGTCCGTGCGCTCCTCGGCCCAGCAGACGTACTTGGGCACGCACTCGTAGACGTTGACGACCCAGGGCCGGCCCTCGTCGCCGGCGGCGCCGTCGCCCGCCGGCGGCGGCGGCGGCGTCGGCGCGGACGTTGGCGACGCCAGGGACGAGTTGTCGTCGCCGTCGTCGCCGCGCTCCTCGACCTCCGGCGGCGCCTCGACGTAGGAGCCGAACTCGCGCTCCTTGGGCGCGTCCAGGGGCACGGGGCGGACGCGCGACACGAACTTCTTCCGCCGCTTCATGAAGAGCGCCGAGTTGACGGAGACGCAGGTCTTGACCTCGAGGTAGACCTCGTCGGGGTCGTACTCGACGGCGAGGCCGTACTGGAACTTGGACCGCTTGAGCACCTTGGCCTCGCGGAGCCGCTCGGGGCCCGTCGACGCGTACTTGCCGTTGTTCCGCTCGAGGTAGAGGTCGCCGTGGACGGAGCTGATGGCGACGCCGACGATGCAGCGCACGGGCGCGCTCCGCGGCGACCAGCGCCGCGCGCCGGCGAGGTAGGCGAACTCCCAGTACGCGTAGCCCCGCCGGTCCGGGTCGACGCGCCGCGCGGCCGCGAGGAGCGCGAGCGCGCGGTCGAGGCGGTCCGGCGCGGCGACCTTGTGCTTCGTGGTCACGGACCAGCCGAGCTGGAAGGCGACGGCGCTCGCGTAGAGCGTCGCCGCGCAGCCGGGCCGCCGCCGCCGCGCGGCCGCGAGCACGTCCGCGGCGAGGTCGTACTCCTGCGCGCCCACGAGCAGCGCGTGCGCCGCGTGGAGCAGCGGGCTCCGCGCGGCGTCGTCTTTGTCGTCGGCCACGCCCAGCAGCACGCCCTCCGCGTAGCGCACGTCCGGCGGCGTCGCGGCGACGAGGCGCTCGGCCTCGTAGACGACGGCCGACGCGACGTCCGTCGCGACGGCCGCCCAGGGCCGGAGCGTCGCCCCGTCGGCCTCGTAGCGGTGCGCCTCCGGCGGCATGTCGAGGCGGTGCCGCTTCCGCAGGGCCTTGAATTCCCGCGTCTTCGCGGTCAGCTCCGCGAGGCGCGACACGGCGTGGGTCATGAGCAGCGACCGCTGCCAGTGGGCCAACCGCCCCCGGTAGCCCCGGTAGCACCGCTGGAGGAACTTGACGCTCTCCGTGCGCCGCATCTCGCGCCACTTCATGAAGAACTTGGCGCCGAGGCGCCCGCGGTAGACCGTCTGCAGCTTGAGGGCCGCCTGCTCCGCGATGGCGACGCGGAGCTCGCGCGCGAGGCGCCGCGCGCGCATGCCCATGTAGAGCGCGTTGATGCGCGCGGCCGCGAGGAAGACGTGGCGGTGGAAGCGCACGTGGCCCTCCGCGCGGCCCCGCGTGCCGCGCCAGCGCCGCTGGATCTTCACGCACTGCCACTGGACGAAGAGGCCGCCGCCTTCGACGTCCCAGAGCCGCGCGAGGCACTGGTTCCGCCGGATCCGCTTCTGCACGAGCGTGATGGCCATGTCCTTCTCCGCGAGGAATTCCCGCGGCGGGTTTTGCGCCACGGACGCCGCGAGGAGCCGCGCGGCGTCGTAGGTCGACCCCTGGGCCGTCACGGGCAGCGACCAGGACGGCGACAGCGTCATCGGCGGCAGCGGCATGGGCGCGTCGAGCTTCCGCTTCCTCCGGTAGCGCTGGCCGATGGAGCCCAGGGAATTCGTCACGCTCCAGAGGAAGTTCGGCGGGCGGTCCTGCGACATGACGAGGGTTGGTCGGGCGGGTACTCGGGCGTAAGCCCCGCCGATCTCCGTAGGCTGCCCCAAGGGCGTCTTGTTGGGGCGCTATCGAACCATCGTGTCGTTGGTTTGCTTGAAGAGTGCAAGGATGGAAGTCGCTAAAAAAGAGGAAACAAAGCGGCCAGCAAGGTCATCGCGCCGCGCGCCTTCGACCGCGCCGCAGAGATGAGCGTCACCATCCTCCACGCGGGGCGGCGCCAGAAGATCTCGCTGTCGTCGAACCACGTGCCCGTGCACAAGATCGTCGCCGAGGCCGTGGCGAAGTTCGGCCTCTCCGACGGCGCCTCCTACGGCCTGCGCACGACGCGGGGCCGGCGCGCGGACGTCGACGAGTGCGCGGCCTGGTCGCACACGGGCCTGTCGAACAACTGCGAGCTCGAGCTCGTGAAGAAGACCGGCGGCGGCGGCGCCGGCGGCCCCGTGCGCGTCGCCGTCGCCGTGAGCCACCGCGGGTCCGCGCCTCGGTCCGCGACGTTCGCCGTCGACTCGAGCAGCACGCTCGCGGCCGTCGTCGCGCGGAGCGCGGACGAGGGCGCGGCGCCGCCGGACGCCCTGCGGCGGTCGCCCGTCGTCCGGGCCCTGCGCGACAAGTTCGAAGGCGCCGCGCTCGAGCGGACCCTCGCGTCGCTCGGCTACGGCGCGGGCGCGTCCGTGCGCCTCAACATCGACCTCGGCGCCGTCGACGAGGGCGCTGTCGCGCCGCCGCCGGAGAAGCGGCCCCGCGACGAGGCCGCGCCGGCGCCGGCGCCCGCGGCGGCGCCCGCGGCGGTCCCGGCGCCGGCCGCGCCCGCGCGCGCCCCGGCGCCCGTCCCCGCGGCGGCGCCCATGGACACGGACGCGCCGGCGGACGCGTCGCTGGACGCGGCGGCGGACGCGCTCGGCGACGCGCTCGCGGCCGTCGGCGCCGTCGGCGGCGCCGCGGGCGCCGCGTGCGCCGCGCTGCTCGCGCGCTACGTCGACGGCGTCCTCGCGAACCCGAAATCCCCCAAGCACCGCGCGATCCGCCGGGGCAACGCGGCCTTCGCGCAGCGCATCGAGGCCGTCGGCGGCGAGCGCGTCTTGGCGGCCCTCGGCTTCCACGCGGAGGACCGGGGAGGGGAGCTGTGGCTCGTGCTCTGCGACGACGGCGCGCGCGACCTGGCCGCTTTAAAGCGCGCGAAGGCGGCGCTCGCGGCGCTGTGCGCGGCCCCGGCTCCGGTCGCCGCGCCGGCCTTCGACCCCTTTTCGACGCACCGCGTCGACATGCGGAGCGGCGCGGCGAAGAAGGCGACGGTGCCCTCGGAGACGGCCGTCGAGCGCCGCGCGCGCGAGCTCGGCGACCAGGCGCGGGCCCTCGAGGGCGCCGCCGTCGCGCCGGAGCGGATGTTGACGCTCCAGTCCGCGGCGGCGCAGGACGCCGCGGCCGCGAAAGCGCGCGCGGACGCGCACTTCGGCTCCGCGGACGACGGCGCGGGCCGCGGCGACTCGAACCTCGTCGCCAAGGCCGCGGCGGCGCGCGAGCGGTCGCGGCGCGAGAAGGAGGACGCGCCCATGACGACCAAGGCCATGCGCGACGTCGCGGCCCTCGAGAAGCTCCGCGTCTACGACGTCGCGGCGATCAAGGTCCAGTTCCCAGACCGCACGGTCCTCGGCGCGCGGTTCCACCCGCGCGAGCCCGTGGCCGCCGTCTACGCCGCCGTCCGCGGCGTGTTGGCTCCCGGCGCGCCGGACTTTGCGCTCTTCGTGTCGCCGCCGAAGCGCGACCTGCCGCCGGGCGGGGGCACGCTCGCGGATTTGGGTCTGGTGCCCGCGGCCAAGGTATTCGTCTCCTGGGCGTCCCCGGCGACGGGGCCCTACCTCTCGGACGCGTCCCTGGCGCTCCTCGACGCGGACGTCGCCGCGAGCGCGTTCCCGGAGGCCAAGCCCGTCGCGGAGCGGACGCCCGCCGCCGCGGAGCCGGCCGCGGCGGCGAAGCCCAAAACCAAGAAGCCGTCCTGGATGAAACTAGGATGAAAACCTAAGTGCCTCGTTCGTCGTCCCCGCCCTGGATGAAACTAGGATGAAAACCTAAGTGCCTCGTTCGTCGTCCAACGTGGCGAGCGCCGCGTCGAGGCGCGCCCGCGCGGCCGCGGCCGCGTCGGCCCCCCAGCTCGCGTCGTCCTCGTCCGCGGGCCAGGCGCCGTCCACGTGGAAGAGCTGGTCGCCGTAGCGGTCCCGCGCGTCGACGAGCGCCGCGCGGACCTTGGCGCGGACGCGCGCCTCGAAGGCCGGCACCGGCGCCAGGGCGCGCCCGACCTCGCGGTGGACCATGGCGACGAAGTCGGAGACGTTCAGCCGCGCGGCGTCCCGCAGCACGCGCTCGACCATCCAGCACCACTCGCGGCGCCAGGCCGGAGCGCCGCCGTAGCGCGCCGCGACGTCCTCCGCGCAGTCGTCGAGCTCCGCGCGCGCGCGGTCCGCCTCGTCGGCGACGTGCGCCCAGACGCGGTCGACGGCGCACGCGTTGCACCAGTTGCGGTTGATGGACACGGTGTCCGCGGTGTTCAAAACCATGTGGTGCCAGTCGCTCGGCACGAAGAGCACGTCGCCCGCGCGCTGCGTCACCACGAGGCGGCGCGCGCGCGCGAGGTCCGGGAACGCGGCGGCGTCGTACCTCCCCTCCCGGCAGTCGTCCACCAGGTCCCCGCCCGCGTTTTTGAGCTTGCCCGTCTCCGCGGGCGGGAAGAGCCACCACGTCTTCTCGCCGACGACGTTCCCGGACCAGCTGTAGGACGCGAGCACGTCCGCGTGGACCGGCGTCCGCGTCCCCGCGGCGCCGACGTAGCAAAAGGAGAAGTCGTCGCGCCGCGCCTCGAAGCACGCGCCCAGCCAGTCGTCGTCGAGGCCCCGCGGGGCGTCGTACCAGTCGCCGTCGCCGAGGTGCCAGTCCTTGAGGTAGGGGCGCGCTTCGCCGTCGTTCTTATCGAAGTGGCGCGCGAGGTAGGCGCCGACGGTCGTCTCCCGCCGCGCGCCGTCGGGCAGCGCCACGGGCGCGCTCGCGTCGCCGAAGAGGCGCGTCATCGCCGCGACGTCGAGGGTCCCGTCCTCCGAGACCCACTCGCGCGACGCGCGCCAGGCCGCCGCCGCGCCGGGCAGGAGCAGCGGCCGGTTCTCGACGAGCGCGGCGGCGATCGACGCCGGGTCCGCGGCGACGCGCGCGCCCGCGTCGAGCGCCACGGCGACGTTCTTGCCCTCGAAGTTGATGGTTGTTTTCGTAGCGTGCGCGTGCTTTTCCAAGAGGTAGGCGACGAGCTCGTCCGTCGTCTTCACGGGCCCGCCGCCCTCGACGACGCGAGCGATGAAGTGCGACGGGAAGACGCAGCACGGCACGACCGCGAAGCTCTTGCCGCGCGCGCAGGCCTGCTCGGCGATGGCCTCCGTCGCGCCGTCGGCGTGGAGCCCGACCCAGACGCCGCAGGCGTCGATCTTCTCCCAGGCGTCTCCGTCGTCCGCGGGCGGCGGGAAATAGCGTTTCAGCACCGTCGCGCGCCGGTCCACGCGCTCGCTCCGGCCCGCGGCGACGAGGTGCGCGCGGTACCGCGCCGGCAGCCGCGGCGCGACCTTTTTCATGACCGTCGCCTGGAGGTCGACGTCCTCGCGCGGCTCCACGAGGACCACCGGCACGTCGTGGCAGTGCGCGAGCCGCGCGGCGACCTCGCCTCTGCCGCCGGCGACGTCGCAGACGCCCTCTCTTTGCAGCCGCTCGACGCCAAAGGTTTTGACGAGGTACTCGACGAAGCGGGCCGCGCGGTTCTCGTTGCGCGCGCCGAATCGCGCGCTGCGCGCGTCGAGGCCCTGCTCGGCGCGTTTGGCCGCTTTAGACGCCTTTCGTCTCGCTTTTTGCGCCGCTTTTTTCTCCGCGCGTGCGTCGGTGACTTCTGATGGCTCTGGAGGCGGCGTGGCGAGCGCTGCCATCACGTTTTGGGCTCACGGCTCGTCGCTCTCCAGCGGCATCATCGTCTCGCTACCTTTGAGCCGACGTTGCCGCATCGCGTGTTGCGGCTCGGCTCGGCTCGCGTCGCTGCCTGCGGCCACTCGATCGCGATGTTTGCGGCAGCACGCGCCGGACGGGCACTCGCCGCCCGCGGGGCGGTGACCGCGCGCCCCCAGGTCCGCCGCGGAGTCTCTCGAATGGCATTCCCGCCGCGATTTACGCCCCCCGCGCGGCCCCCGCGGCGTCGCCGTCGCCGTCGCTTCCCGCGGCGCGATCGGCAGCGCATCCGCCGCCCCGGTCGCTCCCCGGGCCGGCGGCGCCGCCGCGACCGCCGCCCCGGCCGCGACGCTCCCCGAAACCCACACGCGCCGCCCCCGAGACCACACAAACCTCACCGCCGCATCCTCTTCAGGTCCGCTCGATGGGCGTCTTGAAGGACCTCGGCCTCGACAACGTGCCCTGGCAGTACCAGGTGCCCGTGGGCATCTTCCTCGCCATCCCGATCATCGAGAACAAGGTGCTCATGCTCAGCGAGGAGATGCAGCTCGTCGGGTGCTTCGCCATGTTCTGCGGCGTCGCGTACAAGCTCGGCAACGAGGCCGTCGCGGACATGCTCGACGCCAAGGCGAGCGCCATCATCGCCCAGCACAACGCCCTCGAGGACGAGGCCATCGCGGGCATCAAGGAGGTCGTCGACGCGCACGCGTCGCGCGTCGCGCTCCTCGGCGAGCTCAAGGCCATCTCCGCCGCGCAGGCCGAGGCGCTCGCGCTGCTCAAGACGGCCAAGACCATGGAGCTCCAGCACAGCGTGCGCGACTCCATCGTCAAGAAGCTCGACACGCTCGTCGCCAAGGACGAGCAGACGACGGCGCTCATCCAGGCGAAGCTCGTCGCGGACGCGTCCGCGGCCGTGTCGTCGCAGTTCGGCGACGCGGCCGTCAAGGCCAAGGCCCTCGAGGAGGCCATCGGCGCCATCGGCGGCGGGGCCGCGCCCAAGGTCGTCAACGGCCTCTTCGCCGACTACTTCAAGTCGACGGGTGCGTCCGCCAAGTCCAAGTCGGGCTCCGAGGTCGCGCTCTCCGCGGAGGCCGTCGCCGAGCTCAACGACGAGCTCGCCGCCCTCGCGAAGCGCGACGGCTACGAGGGCGCCGTCGCCCCCATGCCCGCCAAGATCGCCGTCTAGGCGCGCCGCCGCGCCCGACCGGCGCGCGAGGCCCACTCTTTCTCCCCCTCTACTAAGCCACTCCGCCCTTCGACCGACGGCACGGCACTGCTCCAAAGCAGCGGAACGCTCGCGCTTAGGAACGCCGACGCTCAGCAGTTCTTGAAGTCGGCCTCGCGCTTCTCCGCGAACGCGGCCATGCCCTCCTTCTGGTCCGCCGTCGCGAAGGTCGAGAGGAAGAGGCGGCGCTCGAGGCGGTTGCCCTCGTTGAGGCTCAGCTCGTAGGCGGCGTTGACGGCCTCCTTGCACATCATGACGCTCGGGCGGCCCAGACCCGCGATCTTCGCGGCCATCTTCACGGCCTCCTCGACGAGGTCCTCGGGCGCGTGGACGGCGGCGACGAGCCCCGCGGACAGGGCCTCCGCCGCGTCGATCTGGTCCCCCGTGAGGCACATGGCCATGGCCTTGGACTTGCCGACCGCGCGGACGAGGCGCTGCGTGCCGCCCGCGCCTGAAAAGGGTGATTCAATTTCTCTTCAACGTGAGTGTTCCGCGCGCGCACGTTCCGGAAAAAGCATCCACACTTCGAGGCCGTTTCAAGAGATGATCGCTCGTCCAAAAATCAGCCGAAACGAGTGGAAAACGACCGAGCTAGGAGCCTTTGAAGACCCCGCGCCGCGCCGGGGATCGTCCCGAGCAGGATCTCGGGCTGGCCGAAGCGCGCCTTGGAGCCCGCGAGCATGATGTCGCACATCATGGCGAGCTCGCAGCCGCCGCCGAGCGCGTAGCCGTTGACGGCGGCGATGGTCGGCGTCCGCAGCGCCGCGACGTCCTGCCACGACGCGAACATGTTCTCGCCGTACGTCGCGGGGTAGGTCTTGTCCTTCATCTCCTTGATGTCCGCGCCGGCGGCGAAGGCCTTCTCGCTGCCCGTGAGCACGATGCAGCCGATGGACGGGTCCGCGTCCCAGGCCGCCGTGACCTCGTTGACCTCGGCCATGAGCGGCGACGACAGGGCGTTGAGCGCCTTGGGCCGGTGGAGCGTCACGATGCCCACGCTGCCGCGGACCTCCGTCAGGACGTTGTCGTACTGCGCCGCGCTGGCCGCCGGCGCCGCGGAGAAGCGGCGCGCGGCGAGGCCGGTGCAGCGGCGGAGAGCCATGCTTCCTGTGATCTGTGGAAATTCCGAGCTGTCGGCGAGCGGCGCGTCACGCGCGGCGCGAACCTGCGTGAGCCGGCGAGGCCTCCTGACCCGATGCCGCCGGAATGACCGGCGGCGACCCGGCGGCGATCCGGGAGCGATCTCGCGCGATCCGCGGACGCGACCGCGGCGAGCCGCGCGCGCGCGACGAGCCTCTCGTACGGCGCAACTGCGTGACATACTATAGTCCGTGCCGCGACCCCGCGCGCGCGCCCTATTTCTTGCCCTTCTTGGGCTTGGAGCTCACGCGGAGCGTCTCGCGGTTGACCTTGAGCGCGGCCTTGCAGTTCGTGCACTGGATCTCGCCCTCGAGGCCGTTGCCCTCGACGCCGAGGACGTCGCCGAAGAAGAGGCGGTTGTCGACGCCGCAGTCCGGGCAGGGCCCGCGCGCGATGAAGGGGTCCTTGAAGATGACCTGCTCCGTGACGTACTGCGCCGCGGCGACGATGAGCGGGCTGCCGACGAGGAGGCTGAGGATGGGGTTGAGCCCCCGCGTCGCGGGGATGAGCTCGTAGGTGCCGCCGCCCCAGAGGAGCGTGCCGAGGAAGAAGGCCGGCACGTAGAGCACGATGGCCCGGAACCGGTCCGGCGTGAACGTCACGCTGCACACGCCCGTGTCGATGAAGCACCGCGGCTCCTTGGACACGGCCACGAGGGACCCCTGGGCCTTGAGGGACGCCTTGAGCTCGTCGAACTCGGCGTCGCTCATGATCGACTCCTCGCCCTTGCCGTACGCGGCCATGGCGCTGAGGAACCGGTTCTCGTCGCGGCTCAGCACGGCGTAGTCCGACCCCTCCCAGGCGAGGTCCTCCTTGAGCTGGTCGAACTCGTTGTCGTTGAGCACCTGCTTCCCGGAGAAGTAGTAGCTCTGGATCGCGTCGATGAAGATGCGCTCCTTCTCCTGCGTCGTCAGGTCCATCTTCTTGCCGTCGGCGCCGACCATGGTGAACTCCTGCTCCGGCTTCTCCGTCGCCGGCGCGGCGCGGAGCGGGGCGAGGCCCCGGTGCGACGACGGGGCGAGGCCCCGGTGCGACGACGGGGCGAGGCCGGGCCTCGCCGGCACCCAGGCGAGCGCCGTGGAGGCCGCGAGGGCCCCTAGCAACAATCCAGTCGCAGGCATCATCGTCGACGCGGAGGCGGGGTCCTGCGCGTTCGACTTGAGCCGCAAATCAAGACGTGGTCGACGAGGGCAACGTCTTAACTTGATGTGCTCGCAATCGACTCGTTGACGCCGGAAGCTTGCCGGCCTCGCCGGGCCTCCGACGTCGACTCGGAGAGGACGTCGGGGCGCCCTCCGCCGCGCCGCTCGCCATACACACAAAAACACCGACTCCCAGATTAACCCCGCGCCCACGACTACGTGTCCTCGACGACCTCCTCGTACTTCTCGAACCACTGCTCGATCTCGTCGACGGTGATGACGCCGTCGTTGTCGAAGTCGATCTCCGAGAGCGCGACGACGATGAACTTCTCCATGGCCTTGTCGTCGTCGGCGAACTTGCCCTGGCGCACGGCGATGGCGCGGATGGCCTCGCGGAGCTCGTCCGCGTCGACGAGGCCGTCGTTGTCCTTGTCGATGTGGTGGAGCTTGTCGCCGAGCTTCACGTCGACCTTGGCGATCTCCTGCTCGATCTTCTCCGTCATGGACGCGAGCTTCTTCTCGAGCGCGGCGACCTTCTTGTCCGGCTCGGCCTCGGGCGCGGGCGCCGCGGCCGGCTCGTCGCCGCCGTCCGGAGAAGACGCGACCTTCTCGTCCGCCGCGGCCGCGGCGTCGTCCTTGGCCGTGGGCGCGAGCGCCGCCTCGACGACGTCAGAATCGGACGCGAGCACGGGCTCGTGCACGAAGTCCTCGGGGACCTCCTCGGGCTTCTCCTTCTTCGAGATCTTCGCGCGGATCTCCTCGAGCTCCTCCTTCTCGCGCTCCAACGCGGACTCGTAGGCCATGTCCACGAGGACCTCGCCGATCTCCATCTTGTCCTTGGCCGTGAACTCGCTCGCGTCGTCCTTCGTCGGGGGCGCCTCGTCCTCGGCGAGGCGGCCGTAGGCCTCCGCGCCGGGACCGTCGCCGAAGAGGCTCGCGGCGTAGGGCTCGGCCTCGGACCGGAACGCGCGCTCGACGTCCGAGCCCAGGTGGGCGTCCGGCGCGTCGGAGGAGAGTTTCTCCGCCGGCTCCGGCTGCTCCGGCTCCTCGCGCGCCTTCTCGAGCGCGGCGGCCGCCTCTTTTCGCTCGACCTCGAGCGCCGCGGCCTCGCGCCGCTCCTCCTCGATGAGGTAGTTCTGCTGCTTGAGGACCTTGAGCTTCTTCGCCTTGACCTCGGAAGACTTGGCCTCCTCCTTCGACGCGACGGCCGCGACGGCCTCGTCGACGAGGGACGCGTCGAGGCCGGAGATGCTCTCCGCGATGGCCTTCTCCGACTCGACGAGCGCGGCCTCCTCCTCGACGGCGACGGCCTTGTCCAGCGTGAAGGCGCGGCTCATGATGAGGATGGCGATGGGCAGCTTCCGGTTCGCCGCGAGCTCGATCCACTGGTCGAGCTGCACGCGGTACTGCTGCTTCGTCAAACCGACGGACCGCATGCCCCGGTCCGCGCAGGCCTCCTGGAGCTCCTGGCGCGTCAGGCTATCTAAACCCTCGTAGACGATGCGCCGGTCGTCCTCCCGGAGCCCCCGGATCTTCGACCGCAGCTGGAAGCGCAGGATCACGTCCGTGCCGTAGGGAGCGATGGCCATGTAGCGGCAGAGGTTCACGAGCTGCGCGCGCGGCAGGTTGTCGAGCATGAGCTCGTCGCCGAAGGTGCGCGCGAACTTGGTCACGTCCTTGGACTCGATGTCGCCCGTGCGCGCCTTGGCCACGAACGCCGTGAGCTCCGTCGCCGTCGCGGACCCGTCGCCGTCGGCCGACCGCTGGCGCATCTCGCCGAGCGCGTCGCCCAAAAAGCCCGCGAGCGCGAGCCGCGCCCGCAGCGTCGCCTTGGCCTTCTCCTCCTTCTTCGTCGAGTCCTGGAACGTCGACGGCAGCATGCCCGGGAAGACCGCGAGCGCGACGGGCAGCAGGAACTCGAGGAACGGCACGAGCACAAAGACCGCGAAGGGCACGACGCGGATGAGGTCCGCCGTCGTCCGCAGGAGCTGCTTCCGCTCGCGCCGCGTCAGGTCGTAGCCCTGGACGACGCGCCCGAGCAGCGCCGACGCCGTCTTCACGTCGAGCCACAGCAGCTTCGACCCGAGCCAGTACTGCTTCATCGTCTCCACGAAGTGGTGCGCGTGGTACCGCGCCTTGGCGGCGAAGCCCTCGGGCGCCGCGGCGGGCTTGGGCGCCGGCGCGGGCTCCGCGGCGGGCTTGGGCGCCGGCGCGGGCGCGGGCGCGGCGGCCGCGCTCGACGCCGGCGCCGCGCCGTGGTACGCGGGCGGCTCGACGTCCTCCGCCGGCTTGGGGCTGCTGCTGAATCGTCGTCGCGCCCGGTGTCGCAGGAACGCGTCGCTGGCGAACGCCGGCGGCCGGCCGGCGACGGCCGCCGACTGCGCGAGCAGCAGCGGAAACGGCGCCGGCCGCGCCGCGGGCGCCGGCGGCCGCCGCGACGCCTCGAACTCGTCCGTGTGGAGCGCGCAGGCCCACGCGGGCGGCCGCGACCCGATCCTCCGCAAGCGGAGGAAGGGGCGGAGCGACATCGCCCCTGTTCGCTGCCGGAGAGCGCGTCGACCGATGACCGCGACAGAGATCTCGAGTGCATGCAACGTTCAATATGAATCGAAGTCGACCTCGACCAAGCAGCATGCGGACTGCATGATGGCAGCCCGCTGCCGAGCAACCGCAGCCCGCTAGACCCGAAGGAAACGCGCGGTTCCCCCGCCGCGACGACAAAACGCCACCATGATGTTCTTCATGACGGGCATGAACGACATCTGGCACGCCCTCGAGGTGCCCTGCGACCCGGCGGGCCTCGACGGCGCGCTGGAGAACGTGCGGAACTGGTTCCCCGACGACGACCAGTTCGGCGACTGCCTGCGCAACGAGAAGCGACCGAGCTGCGACCCGCGGCTCGGCACAGAGCTCCCGCTGGGCCTCCTGCACTACGCGTGCGGGTCCGCGCTCGCGCCGGGCAGCGACGACGAGCAGGAGCGGCGCGCGGCGTGCGTCGCGCGGCTCCTGGCGGTCCGGGCGGGCTTCGTCGACGGCGCCGCGACGCACGTCACGCGCACGGAGGACGGCTTCGCGAGCCGGGGCGGCCTCACGCCCCTCCACGTCTGGGCGTCGACGCTCGGCGAGCACAGCCTGCCCGTGCTCCGGCGTTTGGTCGACGCGGGCGCGGACGCGGGCCTGCGCGACGCCGGCGGCGACGCGCCGCTCCACACCTTCGCCTACGCGGCGTCCTTTTCCGACGAGGCCGCGTGCGACGCGCGGCTCGACCTGCTCCTGCGCGCGGGCGCGGACCTCCGCGCCGTCGACGCCAAGGGCCGGACGCCCCTGGCCTGCGCGCGGCTCGTCGCCGAGGACGCGCCCTCCGCCGTCGTCGCCGTGCTCGAGAGGCGCACGGCCGCCGCGCGGGCGGCGGCGCTCGCCGCCGGGGAGGCGGCGCTCGCCGCCGTCGAGGCGACGGCCGCCGCCGAGGGCGACGAGACCGCCTGGGCGGGCTGATCGTAACTTACTCGCGCTTCAGTACTGCGGGTACTGGGGCTGCTGGGCGTAGCTCGGCGGGTACTGCTGCTGCGGCGCGTACTGGGGCTGCTGGCCGTAGGGCGGCGCGTAGCCGGGCTGCTGGGCGGCGTAGGGCGGCTGCTGCGCGTACTGCGGCGCGTATTGGGGCTGCTGCGGCGGCGTGGGGTACGGGGGCACCTGCTGCGGCGGCGTGGGGCACGGGGGCACCTGCTGCGGCGGCGTGGGGTACGGGGGCACCTGCTGCGGCGCCTGCGCGTACTGGGGCGGCGTGGGCAAGGGCGCCATCTCCTGGCGCGGCGCGACGGCCGCGGGCGCGGGCGCCGGCGGCGCCGGCGCCGGCGGCGCGGGCGCGGGCGCGGCCTTCCTCGCGGGCTCCGGCGTCGGCGGCGCGGCCTTCTTCGCGGGCTCGTCGTAGAAGCGCACGGTGCCGTAGACGTCCGCGAGGACGCGGTCGAGCTTCGCGTCGTCGCAGCCCGGGAGCAGGGGCCGGAGCACGTCCCGCGAGCAGATCGTGTGCGCCGTCGGGTGGACGTTCGGCGGGAGCGGGAGCCGCTCGCGGGGCGCGCCCGCGACGTCCGCGGCGAGCAGGGGCGGCTCGCCCAAAAGCGGGTGGGGCACGACGGGCACGTAGGCGAGGATGTGGGGCAGCGCGCGGTAGGAGATGGGCATGTGGTCGTCGTCGTGTGCGCTCTCGCCGCAGCAGCAGTACCAGAACGCGTTCGCGACCTCGACGCCGACGAACTTCCAGCACGCGAGCACGAGCGCGATGGCGCCGACGGCCGGGTAGACGTCCTTGGCGAACTTCTGCGCCGCCGTCAGCGTCTTGTGCGCCGGCGGGTCGCAGTCCAAAAAGTTGCCAAAGCACGCGGAGTGGTAGTGCATCGTCGCCTTGTCGTAGACCGCGTCGTCCTCGAGCGCGCCCTCCTCGTACAAGCCCCAGTTCTCGAAGAACTCGAGGGACGCGACGACGTGGACGAGGACGACGATGGACACGACGCCGATCGTGCGCCGCGAGATCTGGTCGTCGAAGTCGGGCTTCCGCGCCCAGCGGCGTAATAAGCAGAACCGGTCCGCTGCGAAGGTCGTCGCGAGCGCCGCGGCGGTGACGAGCAGACCGTTGGGCGCCGCCGCGGCGTAGAAGAGCCCCACGAACAGCGTCTTCGCGACGTCCGTGTAGCGCTCGGCGATGTTCCAGTCCGCGCCGATCCAGAACCGGTTGCACGCGCGCTGCGTCGGCTGGCCCCGGCTCACGACGTAGCGCATGAAGAGGTCGTAGGGGTCGTAGACCCGCAGGAGCGGCGCGAGGAAGGCGTCGCTCAGCAGGATCAGCATGATCTGGTTCAGCGCGGCCTCCGAGAGCCGCGTCCGCGGGCCGTAGGACACGAAGACCGCGATGGCCGTGTTCGTCCACCGCGCCACAATCAACTTCAGGAACATGGCGTCCTGCTGGTCGCCAAAGTCCTTGTGCTTCTCCACGGCGTCGGTCAGCGCCTTGAGGAAAGTCGGCAGGCCGCCGTTGACGACGGTGACGAAGACCGCGAGCGCGAAGGGGAACTTGCCCTCGAGGTAGACGGCCACGAGGCAGAAGCACGCGAGCGCGCCCGCCGTCACGGCGAAGGACGCGAGCACGCGGGCCACGCGGTTCCCCACCTTGTAGTGGGAGTTGTGCCAGAAGAGCTCCTCGGGCTCCACGGGCCGCGACACGTTCAGCACCGTGCCCTCGAAGGCCACGGGCGTGTTCTTCGACTCGTAGCCCGTCACGTTGGAGAAGATGCGCCGCACGGCGCTCACCTCGAAGGTCTCGAGGGCGCGCTGCATGCCCTTCTCGAAGGCGAAGGTCACGACGACCGTCTTGGGCTCGCGCCAGCCGCCGCCCGCGTTCTCGCCGAGGTAGGCCTGGAGCTGCTCCTCGATGACCGCGAGCTGCGCCTTGGCGTAGGACGCGCTCTTGAAGAAGCCCAGCGCGTAGGCGTAGGGCTGGAGCAGCTTCCGGAGGCCCGCGGGCTCGCGGTTCTCGAGGTCGCCGTCCGCGAAGTCGCTGAGGTCCTGGAGGTACGCCGCGCGCGACGCCATGAGGCTCAGGAGCGCGCCGTTGTCCTTGCCGATGGTCACGGAGACGATGTCGTCGTCCCAGAACTTGGCGAAGAATTTCTTGTAGGCGTCCGGGTCGAGCACGTGCTGCGGCGGGTTGCTGATCATCACCGCGTAGTCGGACGGCGTCTGCCGGTTCTGGTCGATGCGCTTCGCCAGGATGTCCTGGATGACGTTGGACACGAGCGCCGCCACGAGGATGAGGGCGCAGACGAGGATGTCCGGCACGATGTTCGCGCCGATGCGCAGGTCCGACGCGAAGCAGCCCGCGGCCGTGCCCGAGGCGAGCCCCGCGTTCCGGTCCTCCGTCTCGCGGTGCTTGCAGGCGCGCGCGTTGTGGGCCGTCGACGGGCACAGGATCAGCGCGCTCAGGCAGACGATGCCGAAGAGGAAGCCGAGCTGGCGGAAGTAGAGCGACAGCCCCAGGCCGAAGGAGTCGAGCGCCTCGAAGCCCTCGCAGACGGGGAACAGGTCCGCGCCGTCGAGATTCTCCCCGGGCTTCGTGCGCCGGTGGCCCAGGGACGACGCGGGGTCGTCGACTCGGTGGGGCAGCTGCGCCTTGCGGTAGGCGGCCGCCGTGTCCAAGCACGGCGCCATGCTTTTATGGTTCCTGGATGGCCGCGCTTTTTCAATGTATGTGGTGTGCAACCTCGGCCTCAGCTTCAGCCGCCGGCGCGCCGCGGAAGTCGCCGCGGCGACAGTGCATCTCGACTTTGCGCCGGGCGACGCGCGCGTCCTAACTTGCGTACTACGCGACGCGCCAAGCGGCGACAGGTAGACGTTATGAACAGAGAAGCACAGGGAGGGCGGGGCGTAGGTACAGGGGGAGGGGCTTCATTCCGCCGGCATGAGCGCGGCGTCGCGCTCGTCGTTGTCGGCGATCTCCGCGCGGAGGTCGACGTCGTGGTCGGGCACCGGTGGCCAGAGGTGGCCGTCCGGCGCCTCCGGGAGGACCGTCGCGAGGGGCATGGCGAGCGAGTAGGCCGCGCCGTGGGCGAGGGCGTCGTCGAAGGGCGCGGCGACGACGGCGAGGGGCAGCGCGTCGTGCTCGTCCGTGAGGGGCAGCGGCGCGGCGACGGAGATGGGCCGCGCGTCCGCGCGTTCGGCCGGCGGCGGCCCGGGCGGCGCGGCCTCCGCGGCGGCGGCGGCGGCGGCGTGGACGAGGGCCGCGGCGTTGACGACGGACGCGCGCTGGCTCGGGTCGACGGCGTCCTCGCGGAGCCACGGGTCGTTGAGGATCGCCGAGACGCGCTGCCCCGTGAAGGGGTTCGCGCGCGGCTCGGGCTCGCGCGTCTCGCGGCGCGCGGCCTCCGCGCGGGCCTCGTCCGCCTCGCGCGCGAGGCGCGCGCGGAGCTCGGCGGGCGTCGCGGCGGCCTCGTCGACGGCCGGGAGGCCCCCAACCTCGCGGGGCTCGTGCCCACCGAACGCGCGCTCGCGCGCCCAGACGGCGCCGACGCCGGCGATGGACGCGCCCTCGCCGCCGGCGCGCAGGCCGAGGCCCAGCAGGCCCCACTTCATCTGGTCCTTGGGGCACTCCAACACCGCGTGGACGCGCGCGAGGGGCTTCCGCCCGAGGCGCGCGGCCTCGCGGCCGCCGTCGCCCGTCGCGCGGAACGTCCGCGTCCGCCGGCCGATGCCCCGGCGCGACCGCGCGGACGTCTCCACGGCGAAGCTCGCGAGGCGGTAGTCGGGCCGGGGCCGCGCCGACGTCCAGGTGCGCGAGGAGCCGCAGACCTCGAAGCCGCAGCGGACCGCGCGGACGTGCTCGCCCGGCTTGAGCGTCAGCGACCGCGAGAGCACGAAGCCGCAAAAGTCCTCGTCGGGGAAGCGCCGCTCGACCCGGCGCACGCGGAGCGCGCCGTCGCGCGCCTCGAGCACGTGCCACGTGAGCGTGAGCTGCTGGATCTGCGTCGGCGACGCGAGCGCGGAGATCTTGGCCAAACGCACGGAGCTGAAGAGCGCGCCGCTCGCGCTGCAGCCCCGGCAGAGCGCCGCGAGCGGGAAGTCGTCGTCGGGCGACGTGAGGGCGTAGGGTAGGAGCGCTTCCAGGGGCCCGTCGTTGGCGAGGGCCGCCGCGCGCGCCGCGTGGATCTTCGCCCGGTCGCCGGGCGCGAAGCCGCAGCGCTCGAGCGTCGCGTCGGAGGTCGCGCCGAGCTCCTGGGGCCGGGCGCAGCCCTCGTCGCGGAGCCGGTTCACGCAGGCCTCGATCCAGTCCTCCGTCGCGCCCGTCGACCGCAGGACCGCGTGGAGCCACTCCTCGAGCGACGACATGAGCAGGAAGTTCCGCTCCGTCGGCGGCACGACGGCCGTCGGCTTCGTGAACGCGAGGTCCAGGCAGTGCTTCGCGGACTTTTTTTTCGTTTTGAAGTTGAAGGCCTTGGGCAGGCCGGCTAACGAGAGTCGCGGCATGGCGGGTCGTGTCACGCCTGTGAGAGCACCGAGCTTTTGGGCGACGAGATCGCTGGCGGACGGGCGTATGCTGCGACTTTTGGCAACAGTGCGGCTTCGACGGGTGCTCAGTCTGTCGGAGAGGCGAGACGACTTTACTGCAAGCACAGTGCCGTCGCGGTCGACCAGCAGAGCACCAGCCGACAACCTTCGGCAACTCTTCGAAGTGCGCTTCGCGCTACGGCAACACGACTGCTCTCCGGGCCCAGCCGGGGGGGTCCGTGCGCAGCGGCGCCGGCAACCTGACACAAAATCCCCTTACCCCTCCGCGCCGCCGTCGAGGCTCTCCAGCAGCGCGCCGAGCTCGTCCAGGTCGTCGTCGTCGTCGTCCGGCGCCGGCGCCGCCGCCTCCTCCGCCGCCCGCGGGTCCTCGAACATGGCCGCGCCCGGCTTCAGTTTCGCGAACGCCGCCGCGGCGCGCTCGAGGTCGCGCCGCAGGTCCCAGACCGGCGCGCCGCGGGCGACGACGGCCGCGTTCTCGACGGCATCGAGCACCGTCGCGCCGGCGTGGAGCGGCACGGCCAGCTCGAGGGCCCAGAGCTCCTCGCGGCCGCCGAGCGCGCGCGCGCGCGCCGACGCCCGCGCGAGCGCGTCGAACTGCGCGTCGGCGTCGCCGCCGTGCGTGGCGAGGTGGAGCGTCGTCAGGCTCGAGCGCTCGGGCGTCGCGTAGGTCGACGCGTCGAGGACGAAGCCCCGGACGGCGTTGTCGCCGCTCCGCGGCTCGAAGACGGCCGCCCAGCGCGAGTTCTCCGCGCCGCCGGTGCGCAGGGGCCCGTCGAGGACGGCGATGCGCCGCGTCGCCGCGCCCGCCGCCGCGTCGTGGGCGACGTAGTCGCCGCCGACGACGACGGCGCCGCAGCGGACGAGGTCGTGGCCGCCGCCGTCGCGCGCGAAGAGCGCGCCGACGACGCGGCGCGGCCCGCCGGCCGCCGAGGCCATAACGAGGCCCGCGGGCGCCGTGCGCAGCGCGTAGACGGCCCCGCGCACCGCCGCGGCGCGGCAGAAGGCCTGCGCGAGCTCCGCGGAGCCGTAGAGCGGCGCGAGGAGCGCCGTCGAGCCCTCGGGCGCGCGCGCGAGCGCCCGGAGGTGCGCGTAGAGGCTCGCGAGCCCCGCGCGGCGCGGCGCGCCGTCGTCGTCGACGAAGGCGAGGGCGTAGGCGACGACGCGCGCGAGGAGCGGCGAGAGCTCGTCTTTCGCCGCGAGCGACCGCACAAAGGGCGCGTCGAGGTCGTCGTCGTCGCCCGCGTCGTCCCCGTCGACGCGCTTGTTCTGGGGCCGCCGCAGGCCCCGGCTCGCCGTCAGGGCGCGCTCGTTGAGCGTCGCGGCGTCGCCGCCCGCGACCTCGCGCTCGCCCCAGTCCGCCGCGAACTGGAGGAGCCGCATGAGCCGCCGCTTGTCGACAACACCCAAAGCCGTCGACGCGAAGACGTCGCGCTTCGAGCAGGGCACGGCCACGGGCGCCGCGCCGTCCGCGCCGAAGAAGAAGACGCGCTCGTGCGCGAGGAACTCGAGGTAGTGGCCCACGCCGGCCTTGACCAGCCCCTCGACGGCGTCGCCGGACGCGAAGAGCGCGCGCGCGTCCAGGTCCACGTTGAAGCGCTTCGCGCGCCTCGCCATCTCGCGCCGGGGCCGCGCCGCGGCCGTCGCGCACGCCGCGGACACGAGGCCGTCGACGACGGCGGCCGCGGCCGCGGCCGCGCCGTCGTCGGCGGCCGCGGCGACGGCGTCCGCCAGGGCCGCCGCGGCGACGCGCGCCGTCTCCGCGTCCAGGGCCTCCCAGTCCCGCGGCAGCGGCGTCGCCGATCGCGCCGCGGCGAAGGCGTCGCCGCGGCGCAGCGGCGCGACGGCGACGTCCGCGAGCCCCTCCGCCTCCAGCGCCGCGCGCGCGTCGGCGCCGAGCCAGGCCTGCGCCTCGTCGGTCGTGGGTTCGCGCGTCGTCTCTTTCGGCGTCGACGCCCAGGCCGCGCAGGCCTCGAGCGAGAAGCCGGCGCCGTCGCTGCCGTAGAACTCGTTGCGGTCCACGTGCAGCACGCTGTCGCCGCAGCGCGCGAGCGCCGCGGCGATCATGCTCTCGACCAGGCCCGTGCCGACGACGAGCGCGTCGACCGGGCTCGGGAGCGCGTCCATCGCGTCTGCGACGCGATCGAGGTCGGCTTGCTCTGCGATCGATGCAGATGATCGATGCTGTGGCTTTTTTGAGGTTTGGCGAGCAGGGCATTTCGACGTTGGTGCAGCTCGTCAATGAGCTGCATGCAAACACTTCCCGAAGACGGCGCAACCAGAGGTGCGCATTCCACGCCTGCGCGCGCAGCACAAGACGCTGCCCCCCAGCGGAGAGGAGCGCATCCCAGGCCTGCGTGCGCAATAAAACCAAAGCAAGCTCGAAGAGCATCGAACGCGTAGCCTCTCAAAGGCTGCCCGCACCATGGTCGACCTCCGGGAGCTCGCGCCGGCGCTCGCGGCCTGCGTCGTCGCCCTGGTCTTCGCCGTCGCGGCGTTCACGACGTCCGGCGGCCGGCGGGGCAAGGGCTTCGCCGTCGACGACGGCGCCTTGTACACGGCGCTGCTCGACGACGACGAGGCCAAGGTCGCGGAGGACGACGGCGCGGCCGACGGCCCGTACGTCGTGCCGTCGCGGTCGCGGCTCGCCTGCCGGCAGGCGGCCTACTACGTCGCCTGCGCCTGGAACGCCGTCGCCGGCGCCTGGTTCGCGCGCCGCGGAACGCTCGACGCGGCCGCCGCCGCGCCGCTCGTCGTCGCGCTCGCGTGGCTGCTCGTGAGCGCCAGGGCAGGAAATGGGTGATTCAACGTCGCTTCAACGTGAGTGTTCCGCGCGCGCGCGTTTCGGAAACAGCACCCACGCTTCGAGAGCGCTCCGAGAGATGATCGCTCGTCCAAAAATCAGCCGAAACGAGCGGAAAACGACCGAGATAGGAGCCTTTGAAGTTGGGAATTTCGCACCCTTTTCCTGCCCAGGTGAGCGCCGGCGACGCCGCGGCGACGCGGACCCTCTTCTTCGGCGCGGACCGGAAGACGCCGCTGCGCCGCGCGCCGCGCCGCGACGTCGGCGCCATGCTGCCCGTCGCCGCGACGGCCGCCGCGGCCGCGACCGTCGCGGGCGTCGCGGTCCGCGGCGGCCCCGGCGCCCTCGCGGCGGCCCTCGCGCCGCTCCTCCGCGGCGCCGCGCCGCACGGCACCCAGCGGGCCGCCCTGGACCTGCTGCTGGCCGTCGGGTCCGCGTCCATCGCCGCGGCGACCTGGTCCGCGCGCTTCTCGCGGCCGCGCGTCGCGCTCGCGAAACGTCCGCCGACGATCGAGGAGCGGGGCCTCAGTGTGCCCAACGTCGTGCTCCTGACCTGGCTCGAGCCCATCCTGGCCGTGGGCTACCGGCGCCAGCTCCAGCTCGAGGACCTCGGCGAGGTGTCGCACTTCGACCGCGCGGGCGAGCAGTGGCGGCGCTTCCGGGCCATCCTCGGGCCCTACGAGGCGCCGCAGCCGGCGGACGCGCCGCCGCGCTACCTCTACCGCAAGCTCTGGCGCCTCGTCGCGCCCCAGCTCGCCGCCTTCTCGCTCATGATTCTCGCCCAGGCCGCGCTCAACTATTTACGGATCTACGCGTTCAAGGAGTTTCTGCATTTGCTGACGACGGGCACGGCGGGCGCGGCCGAGGCGCTCTGGGCGTCGCTCCTCGCGCTCATCGCCGCGCCCCTGCTCATCTCGGCGCTGCGGTCCGCGAGCTCCGCGCTCCAGTTCCGCATCGCCCTGCGGTGCCGCGCGGCGCTCATCATGCTCATCTACCGCAAATCGCTCCGCGTGAGCCTCGGCGCGACGGGCTCGAGCGTCGGCGAGATCGCGAACCTCATGTCCGCCGACGTCGACTCCATCGTCTGGACCTGCGCCTACATCGACAGCCTCTGGATGCCCATCCTCCAGTCCGTCGTCTGCCTCGCGTTCATCTTCGCGCTCGTCGGCGCCGCGGGCGCGCTCGCCGCGGGCGTCATGGCCGTCGTGGCCATGGGCAACGCCGTGGGCTTCGGGATCATCTTCGGGTCCCAGCAGGCGCTGATGGAGGAGCGGAACAAGCGCCTGAACGCAATCACGGAGGCGCTGACGAACATCCGCATCATCAAGCAGTGCGGCATCGAGGCCGCGATCCACACGGCCGTGACGAAGTTCCGCGCCGCGGAGCTCAAGCACCTCAAGAAGTTCCGCTACGGCATCACGATCCTCATCACCTTCATCACGTCCGGCCCGAAGATCGCGACGATCGGCACGTTCCTCATCTACGCGCTCGCGGAGGGCAACGCGATCACGCCGGCCGTGGGCTTCACCATGCTCGAGCTCCTCGGCGACCTCAGCGGGAGCTTCATCGCCCTGCCCGCGTCCCTCGACGGCCTCACGCGCGCCGCGACGGCGCTCGCGAAGATCAACCGCTTCCTCGACGAGGACGAGGTCACGCGCGTGCCGCGCCTCGAGGCCGAGGCGCCGGCGCAGGCCTGGATGCCCCGGGGCGGCGTCGAGCTGCGGCGCGCGTCCTTCGCCTGGCGGACGTCGCCGGACAGCAAGTACGGCCACAAGTTCAAGGAGCACACGGGCGCGTGCTGCGGCCTGATGAAGCCGAAGCCCGCGCCCGCGGCGCCCGCGGCGCCCGCGCCCGCGCCGCGCCAGCTCACGGACGTGGCCCTGTCCATCGCGCCGGGGTCCCTCGTCGTCGTCTACGGCGCGACGGGCTCGGGCAAGAGCAGCGTCCTCGCGGCGCTCCTCGGGGAGATCTCGCGCGCGGAGCCCGCCGAGGCGCGCGTCTTCGGGCCGGACCCGCTCTTCCCGCTCTGCGAGCCCCGGCTCCACGGCTCCGTCGCCTACGTCGCCCAGAAGGCCTGGTGCGACGCCGTCGTCCCGCGACGATCTTCGACGAAAAAAACCGTAGGTGCCAGCACGCGACGGTCCGGAGCAACATCTGCTTCGCGAAGCCGTACGACCGCGCGAAATACCGCCGCATCTGCCGCGCGTGCGCGCTGCCGCCCGACTTCAAGCTCCTCGAGCACGGCGACTTCACGAAGATCGGCAGCCGCGGCATCAACCTCAGCGGGGGGCAGCAGGCGCGGGTGAACCTGGCGCGCGCGTGCTACGACGACGCGGACGTCTACCTCCTCGACGACCCCCTGAGCGCCGTCGACGCGCACGTCGGCGAGCACCTCTTCCACCGGGCCGTCCTCGGCGTCCTCGGGACGAAGACGCGCATCCTCGCGACGCACCAGGTCGCGCTCACCGTCGACCGCGCGGACTTTGTGGTCATCGTCGACGGCGGGGCGATCGTCGAGGCGGGGCCCGCGGGCGCGATGCGCGCGTCGCCGCGCGTCACGGCCCTCGCCGCGGCCAAGGGCGCCGCGGAGGAGCCGCCGGCCCGGGCCCTCGACGACGACGACGCCGACGACGGCGCGGAGTACGGCGCGGAGCCCGAGGACGAGAACGCGGAGGCGCGCGACGAGGGCGCGGTCCGGCGTCGAGCGGCGGGCGCGTGCTTTCGCGCGAATTTCACCTGTGAAGCAATTCGACCCCGTCGCGCTTCGTAGGCACGGTCACGGCCAAAGCCTACGCCAAGTACGTGTCCGCCGTCAAGTCGCGGTCCATGCTCCTGGGGATCCTCGTCTTCCTCGTCGCGGCGTCGGCGTGCGACTCCATGCAGTCGCTCTTCATGGCCCAGTGGATCGACGACATGCAGGCGGGGCTCCCGGCCAACGGGCCGGGCATGTGGAAGTACGCGGCCGCGGGGCTGCTGGTCGTCGTGACCTTTGGCGTGTCGTTCCTGTTCCAGATGTTCGCGTCGCTGCGCGCGTCGAAGCACCTCCACTCGGAGGTGCTCGCGCGCGTGCTGGGGTCGACGGTGTCGTGGTTCGACACGACGCCCGTCGGGCGCATCCAGAACCGCTTCTCGGCCGACTTCCAGACCGTGGACCGGTCGCTCATGGGCTCCTTCTACGGCTTCGCGCGGTCGTGCCTCGGCCCGGTCCAGACGGTCTTCGCGTTCGCGGTGTCGACGCCGCAGCTCCTGCCCATCATGCCCCTCCTCTGCCTCGTGTCCCAGCGCATCGGCCTCGTCTACCTCCGGTCCGCCCGGGAGATGAAGCGCCTGGGCTCCATCCACCGGTCGCCGGTCTACGAGTACTTCACGGAGTCGCTCCCTGTGTGGAATTCGACCACTGGTTTGGGTGGTCCTGACCAAACTTGAGAATTCTCTAGCTCGGTCAAATCGAAGTCGATTCGGCTGATTTTTGGACGAATCGGTTGCTCTCGTCGAGTTTCCGAAGCACAGCCGAAGAGCTTGTGTCAAAACGGTCGAATACGTTCAGTTGAATTCGGGTTGAAGATTTGAATTCCACACAGGTCGCTCCAGGGCCTCGAGACGATCCGCGCGTTCCGCGGCGGGGCGCACGCGGAGGCCCACATCGGCAACTTGGTGGACCGGTCGACGCGCTGCCAGGCGGCCCAGCTCTTCGCGAGCCGCTGGCTCGGCGTGCGCCTCGAGATGTTCGGCGCCGCGGTCACGGGCGTCGTCGCCGTGTCGCTCGTGACGGCGCTCCGCGGCGACATCTCGCCCGCGCTCGCGGGCTTCGTCATGCAGTACTCGGGCATGCTCACGAGCGCCATCAGCGCCATCATCCAGACCTACTCGCAGCTCGAGATCGCCATGAACTCCATGGAGCGCGTCACGGAGTACTGCGAGCTCGAGCAGGCGCCGCGCGGCGTCCCCGTCCCCTTTCTTCTTCCCGGCGCGCGGCGACCGCCCCGTTTCTCTCTAGGAGCCGCGCTTCGTCGTCGACGGCGTCGGCTGCGAGACGCTCCCCGACGCCGACCTCCCGGGCGACGGCTGGCCGAGCAAGGGCGCCGTCGAGGCGCGCGACGTCTTCGTGACGTACCCGAAGACGTCCGTCGCCGTGCTCAAGGGCCTGAGCTTCTCGCTGCCCGCGGGCACGAAGACGGGCGTCGTCGGGCGCACGGGCGCGGGCAAGTCGACGCTGACCCTGGCCCTCGTGCGCATGGTCCCGACGGGCGGCGGCGCGTTCCTCGTCGACGGCGTCGACGTCTCGCGCGCGCCCCTCGAGCGGCTCCGCGCGGGCATCACGGTCGTGCCCCAGGAGCCCGCGCTCTTCAAGGGCACGATCCGCAGCAACGTCGACCTCGCGGGCGAGCGGAGCGACGACGAGCTCCGCGGCGCGCTCCGGCGCGTCCAGCTCGCCGGCATGGACCTCGACCGCGCCGTCTCCGACTCGGGCGCGAACCTGTCCGTCGGCGAGCGCCAGCTCCTCTGCCTCGCGCGGGCCCTGCTCCGCGCGCGGGCGTTGCTCATCATGGACGAGGCGACGGCGAACGTCGACTCCGTGTCCGACGCGAACATCCAGAAGGTCATCCGCGAGGAGCTCGCCGGCGTCTCCGTGCTCACGATCGCGCACCGGCTGAAGACCATCATCTTCTACGACCAGGTGCTGGTGTTGGACGGCGGCGCGAAGAAGGAGTTCGGCTCGCCCGCGGAGCTCATCGAGGCGGAGGACGGCCACTTCCGGTCGCTCTGCGCGGCGACGGGCGACCTCGACGCGCTCCGCGCCGAGGCCCAGGCGGCCGCGGCCGCGCGCGGCGCCTAATCACATGCTTTTTTAGCGCCAGCGGGGCTTCTCCCCCCGGGGCAGGCAGGCGGCGCCGCGCATGTGGTCCGGCGCGGCCACGCGCGGCGGCCCGGCGAGCTCGGGCTTCGCCGCGAGCCAGAAGCTCCGCTGGGGCCGGAACGCGGGCGCGCCCGCTTGACGCCGCCGCACGAAGCGGCCCTGGCGCAGGGGCGCGTCGGCGAAGTCGGCGCCGACGGCCGCGTCGACCATGCGCGAGCGCTCGTCGTCGTCGTCGTCGTAGGCGAGGCAGTCGTCGGAGAGCGTCACGGACGTCACCGTCGCCGGCGTGTAGTAGTGCACGGGCCGCGGCGCCGCGCTCGCGTCGTCGCCGTCGCTCGCGCCGTCGTCGTAGCCGACGAGGGGCACGTCGGGGAACGGCGCGGCGAAGAGCGCGGCGCGCGGCGACGGCTCGCCGTCGTCGCTCGGCGCCGTGACGACGGCCGCGTCCTCCTCGATGCTCGCGACGTCCAGCGCGCCGCGCGGCGGCGACCCGGCCGCGAGCGCGGCGTCGACGGCCGACGTCGCGTACGTCGCGGCGGCCGCGGCCTCGGCGATGGCCGCCTGGACGTCCGCCGCCGCGCGCGCGGCGCCGGCGACGACGGTCGCGAGCGCCGCGTCCGCGTCGCGCGCGTCGTCGACGACCCGCGCGCCGCCCGCGTCGCCGTCGTCGCCGCCGTCGTCGTCGACGCCGACGTCCACGAGGTCGAAGCCGCGCCGGAGCCCCGGCTCGAAGGCGTCGTCGAAGGCCGAGATCACCGACGACACGGCGACCTCCGCGTCCGCGGCGGACCGCGGCTCGCCGAGGCCGCCCGTCGCGGCCGCCGCCAGGACCCACGCGCGGAACGCCGCGCCGCGGCGCCGCGACGCGCACTTTGCGGCCGCGGACTGGAGGGCCCGCGCCCCCGCTTCGCGCCGCGCCTCGGCCCGCTTCGCCGCGGCGGCGGCGGCGCGCCACTTGCCCGCCGCGCGCGCGACCGCGCGGCGCCTCGAAGACGCCGCCGCCGCGACCGCGCCGCGGATCGCGCGCCGCGACGCCGCGGCGGCGCGGCGGCGGTCCGCGGCGACGACGGCCCAGGCGCCAAAGGCCAGGTCCGAATTCCGCGCGCGCCAGCGCGCGCCGAGGCGCCGCAGGGTCGCGGCGCCGCGCGCGCGCCGCGCGGACTCGGCCGCCGCGGCGTCGCGCCAGGACCGGACCGCGCGCGCGGCGCGGCCGTGGCGCCGCGCCGCGGCGCCGCGCCGCGCCACGCGGAGCGCGGCGCGCAGGGCCCGCTCCTGGCGCTGCTCCCGCGCGACGACCGCCGCCCAGGCGCCGAGCGCGACGCGCGCGAGCCGCAGGGCCCGCGCGGCGCGCTCGCGGTCCCGGGAAGACTCGAACGACGACGACCAGCCGCGGAAGCCCCGCGCGACGAGCCGCGCCCGCCAGCGGCGCGCCAGGTGGCACAGGGCTCGTCGTCGCTGCGTCTCGCGCTGGCGGTCTGCGTCGGCGACCGCGCGCCAGGTCCGATAGCGACGCGAGAGCGCCGCGGCCCGCGACCGCCGGTCGGCCCGCGTCGCCGCGCGCGCCGCGAGCGCCGCGCGCCGCGCGAGGCGCGCCGCGCAGGCGGCGACGCGTCCCAATTGGGCGAAGCCACCGCCGAGGCGGCGCCGCCGCCAGCGCCGCGCGACGGCGGCGAGGGTCGCGCGCCTCCGGCCCGTCGCCTTCCGGGCCGCGGCCGCCGCGGCGCGCCACGCGCGGAGGCCCCGCGCGAGCCCCGCGTGGCGCCAGCGGAGCGCCGCGCGCAGGGCGACGCGCCGGAGGTCGGCGGTCCGCGCCTCGCGCGCCCGGTCCGCGGCGGCGGCGCGCGCCCAGGCCGCGAAGGCGAGCGCGCGCGCCGCGGACCGCCACCGGTCCGCGCGCATGCGCAGCCCGCGCGCCGCGCGCGCGTCGCGCCGCCGCGCGGACGACGCGGCGCAACGCCAGGAGGAGAAGGCGCGCCAGACGCGCGCCTCGCGCTGGCGCGCGACGGCGCGGCCCGCGAGCCGCAGGACCGCCGCGAGGCGACCCGACCGGTCGCGGCCGGTCGCCGCGCCGGCGACCCAGGCGGCGAAGGCGAGGGCGCGCGACCGCGCGCGCCAGCGGCCGACGCAGCGCACCAAGAGCCGCCGCCGGCGGCCGTCGGCGCGGGCGAGCCGCGCGGCCGCGCGGCGCCACCGCCGGAGCGCGTTGGACGCCGCCGCCGCGCGGCGCCGCGCGGACCCCGCGGCGGCGACGCGCGCGACCGCGCCCACGCGCGCCGCGCGCCGCCGCTCGCCGGCGGCGGCGCCGGCCCAGGCCTCGAGGGCCCGGGCCAGGGACCGGCGCGCCCAGCGCGCGACGGACCGCCGGAGGAGCCGCGCGCGCCGCGAAGCGCGGAACGCGGCCGACGCCGCCGCGTCGCGCCAGCGCCGGAGCGCGCGCCGCGCCGCGGCGGCGCGCCGCCGGCGCCGCGTAGTGGAGGCGACGCCCTCGAGGCGCCGCGCCGCCGCCTCGCGCCGGCGAACGGTGGCGGCCGCGTTTGCCCACGCGCGGAAGGCGGCCGCCTCGCGAGCCGCGCGCCGGCGCCGCAGGCAGCGCCGCACGGCGCGGAAGCGCCGCGCCTCGCGTTCCCGCACGGCGGCCGCGGTCGACCGCCAGGCGCGCAGGGCGCGGGCGACCTCGAGGCGCGCCCAGCGCCGCGCCGCGGCCGCCGCGAGCCGCCGCACCGCGGCCGCGCGGCGGTCCGAGGCCGCCGCGCGCGCGGCCGCGGCCGCCCAGGCGCCCAACGCCCGGGCCTGCGCGCGCCGGAGCCAGCGCGCCGCGCAGCGCCGCAGGAGCCGCGTCGACGCCGCGTCCGCGCGGAGGTCCGCGACGACGACGTCGCGCGCTGGCAACCGCAGCGTCCGCGGCGCCTCGGGCGCCTCCGCGGCCCGGCCGTCCTCGTAGTCGCGGCGCAGCGTGCTGTCGCCGCGCGCGCCGAGGTTCCGCCGCCGCGCCTTCGCCGCCGCCACGGCCGTCGCGACGTCAAAGGCCGCGGCGCTCGGCTGGCTCAGCGCCGACGGCGCGTCGCTGTTCTCCGCGAGGTAGTCGACGTCGAGGAACCGGTTCGCGGCTTTGTCGCTCGCCGCGTTGGCGCAGTCGATGCAGTTGAGCCATTTCTGGAGCGTGTCGGCCATCGGCCGCACTCTTAAACGCTCTCCATCGTGCGATGCGAAGCGCGCCGGTTTTGGGGAAACGTGCAGTATCATCTGGCGCAGATCGTCGGCTGCCCTCGCAAAAGCTAAGGCACCAACCCGGCTGCCGTCGTCGCCCCTCGTCGCCCCTCCCCACGATGGACAGCGATGTGAAGGCTATTTTCGAACTCTGCGCGCTGGTGCGCGCGAAGGAGGCGGAGGCGGAGGCGGCGGCCGAGGAAGCGCGGGCCAAGGAGGCGCAGCTCGCCAAGGTCCGCGGAATCCTCAAATGTGCTGAGAGCGGGGGCGAGGTAGACGCGGAAGTCTACCTGGAGGTCGCGCAGGCCTCCTGCGGCAAGACCCTCACGCCGCACGAGAAGCAGATGCTCGAGATCAAGAAGAAGAGCGAGGAAGACGAGAAGGCCTGGGAGAAGGACCGCGAGGCCCGGCGCGAGGAGCGCGACATCGCGCGCCAGAAGCGCCGCGCGCAGCAGGACAAGGAGGCCGAGGAGCGCCGCGCGCACCGCGAGGCCAAGGAGGACAAGGACCGCGCGCACGAGAAGGCGCGCGAACTCAAGCGCGTCAAGGAGGACGAGGACTGGGAGGCCGAGTTCGCCGCGGCGCTCCGCGACCGCAGCGCCAAGCGCCTCAAGAAGCTGGCCGACGCCGAGGCCACGGAGCAGAACTCCGGCGAGTTCCACTGAGCGCGCGCCTCCCGAGCCTCGCGCGCCCCTCCCGAGCCTCGCGCGCGCCTCCCGAGCCTCGCGCGCCGCGCCGCCCCGTCGGCTTCCAAGTCCCCGAAGTCCCCGCCAGCCGAAAGACCCCCTCATAAGTTACGACCCCCGGCGCCGCCGCCACCAGCGCGTCCCCCGGGCGAAGCAGGCCGCGGCGGCCGCGCGCGACGTCGCCGCGAGCGCGCGCCGCGAGCCGCCGTCGAGGCCGGCGAAGAGCCGCGGGCAGGCGAGGGCCGCGGCCTCGAGGCGCCGCGCGCCGCGGTCCGCGAGCGCGGCGTCCGCGGCGGCGCAGCGGCGCGCGTAGGCGTCGGCGGCGCCCGGCGCGAGCCAGACGCCGGCCTCCGGGAGCGCGACGGACCGCGACTCGCGCCGCCAGAGCGCGCCGCGCGCGTCGCGGGGAAAGAGCGCGAGCGCGTCGAAGGCGGAGACCGCGGGCACGAAGTGGACGCCGAGGCCGCGGCGCGGGCCGTCCGTGAGGTTGGGCCCGGAGCCGTGCCAGCAGCGGCCGTCGTGGATTCCCGCGCCGCCCGCGGGCACGGCCGCGGTCGCGAAGTCGATCCCGTCCGGGTCCAGCCCCTCGGCGCGCGCGGCGGCCCGGAGGAGCGCGTGTTGCTCCGCCGCGTCGGGCGCGAAGAAGACCTTGGCGGAGCCGCGGCGGCCGTCGCCCCAGGCGTGGCTCCCGCGCGCGTAGCGGAGCGGCCCGCGGGCGTCGTCGCGCATGTCGTCGAGCGCGAGCCAGATCGTGATCACCGCGCACGCGCCGCCGTCGACGGACCGCGGCAGGATCTCGTCGAAGTAGGGCGAGTCGCGGTGGAACACGAGGCCGCCGCAGCCCGGCGGCTTCGCCCAGACCTGGTCGTTGGCGACGCGCGCACCGTGCGGCCAGCCGCCGAGCTCCGCCGCGAGCGCCGCGAGCCTCGGCGACCGCACGACGGCCGCGAAGGCCGCGTCCGCGCGGCTCGCGTCGACGACGTGCACCGTGCGCTTCGACCGCTGCGCGAGCTTGCCGCC